TGCTCATTGTGCCTCTCGATCAACTGGGAGGCCCGATTCCAGCTCAACAACAAGACAGACTAGCGTCTCTATTTCCGGGCGAGGCGTCTTGAACGTTATGGGACTGCCTGAATCGCCCTCGGTTGCCGTCAATAATGACCATGGTGTATATCTCCCGATGATGCTGCTGTCGCGTGATGGCTGTTATCATGGCTTTGGTTCCAGGGTTCCTTTACCGACTCATTGATCGGACCAACTGTAAGGGAAGTCTCATCTTCGCACAATCTCCATGTCTGTTACCATAACGCTGGTGGAGATGGAGGAGGATTTCACGGACCTCACCATTCCCGCTGATTACATCAAATTCTATGGCGATCCTCTCAGTCTCGTCGCTGGACTAGACTCAGCACCAACGCAGTGGAAGGGAAAAGGCAAGGCCGTGGGGCCATCCGTCGACGACGAGCCACCTGTGACGGTAGAGGAAGAAGTCGACTGGACCAAGTACAACCCTCCTGCGGCCTTGCACACAACGCCAAATTTCCATGACGATGTTCTCGTTCACATAATCAAGACATCCATCGACAGGCTACAAGCGCGCAACGCCGCAGAGCATCGAAAAAGAGAGGAGGAAGAGGAGCAGCGGAAAATGTCGAGCGTGCCAACGACTCCAGACTCTGAAGAGGATGCAGCCGCCAAGGAACCATATCTTCCCATCATCATACCCACGGATGACCCTCAACCCGTCTCCATCTCTGAAGTTCAAGCCCACCTTGACGAAGCAGAAAAAGAAGACCTTGAGAATCTTTTCTCCCATGACACACCTGTATCCAGGACGCCTTTTGATCTTGACTCCAAGCCAAAGAAGAGCCGCAAGTTTAAGCTCGCCCACCTGCTCAAGCGTCTCGCCGATAGGGACAGTGGCACTCCCCCGGTCAGAGACTCGTCAAAGAATGAGGAGCCGTCTAGCTCATCTGAGATCACCATCAAACATGAAGAGCCACCGCTACCACCAACGCCACCGGAAGAAGTGTAAGTCCTCCACTCTTTCTCAGCTTTTCCCTATTGACGGACTCAGTGAATGCGTCTCCTGCCTAGATGACTTTCCTCAGTCGGCTCTCGTCAAGATTACCTGTCACAGCTATTGCACCCCGTGTTTCCACCGTCTCATCACAACCGCATGCCAGAACGAGCAGCAGTGGCCCCCCAAGTGTTGCCTCAACACAATCCCCGAGGAGACAACTCTCGCCCACATTCCGGCCGACCTCCAGAAGACGTTCCGTCGCCGCGCCGAGGAGTGGGCTCAGCCGGCACCGGATCGAATCTACTGCAGCCGACCCACCTGCTCACGCTTCATCCCCACGAGGCGCGTCGACCACGCCACCCGCACAGCGCGCTGCTCCCACCGCAGCCATCCTCCAACCTGCACCCTCTGCCGCGGCCCCGCTCACCCTACCGCCGAGGCGTGCCCCTCCGACCGCGACGCCGCCCTCACCGAGGCCCTCGCTGCCGATGCCGGCTGGATGCACTGCGGCGCGTGCCACGCGCTCGTCGAGCATCGCGAGGCATGCCAGCACATGACGTGTCGTTGTGGGCACGAGTTCTGCTACGTCTGCGCGCTACCGTGGCAGACGTGTGGGTGTACCATGGATTCGCTAGCGGAGAAGCTCGCGGCGGCAGCGGCGCGGGTCGAGGCGCGACTCCTTCGGGAGGCGGAGGAGGAAGAAGCCGTGCGAATGGTGGAGGAGTTTGAGAGGGAGGAGAGGCTCAAGCAGGAGCTGCTCCGTGCCGAGGCCGAGAGGGCGGAAGCCGAGCAGAGGGCTGAGCGGGAGGCCATCAGACAGAGCGAGGTCAAGGACAGGTTTGAGAAGCTGAGACGCCAGATGGGGGATCTAAGGGAGCTGCAGGATGTGCTTGTAGGCTGGCAGCACGATCGGGAGGTCGAAGTTCTCAAGGCCGATGGTGCCGCTGAAGAGGAGGCTCTTAAGGAGAGGCAGCTCAGAGAGAGGCAAGAATACGACCAGACGGCACGCGACAAGATTCAAGTGCAAGAGCTGTCGTTCAAACGGGACTATGCTTCGAGAGTCGCGCAGGAGAGGGACGTCGAGGCCAAGTACATGCTCGAGCTGCAGGTCTTCTACGAAGGGCGCGTCGAGGGGGCGAAAATGGTCGGCGACGCGATGACGCTGTTCCGGCGGCAGATGGACAAGGGGTGGCGCGCCTGGAGCCAGTGGCGGGACGGTGAAATGGCGGCGTATCAGGCCCGCATCGACGAGGAGCGGACCATTCAGGAGGAGGGGCTCTGCAGCGTCAAGGCGAGGTTGGAGGACAGGCTCGCCGAGCAAGCGAGAGAGGCGACCAGGAGGACGGCGGCCGAGATGAAGTGGGCCGAGGAGGTGTGGCGGGAGAGAGAGGCCATGATGGTGGAGCTGGAGAGGGAGGAGCTCGATGACGGAGAGACCGGGAGCTGGTACAGCTTTAGGGATGCCGAGGAGGAACTGCCTGAGGAGGCGGAAGCTTCTGGGTCAGGGTCGGAATCGGCGTCAGCAGCGATTCCGGCTTGAGCCTCTCCACCGGCCTCTTTCTCTTCCAGTTCTTAGATTGTATAGACTTTGAGATTTACTCACCAAACTCTTCACCAGACGAGGATCTATGAATGCGTCTTGACTAGCTTAGATGAGCACTGCCGCTTTTAAGTCGAGCTTTTATATCGCCACCCCAAGACGAGGATGAAACCTTGCGCAAGACTGTGTACACAGTTATATATCAGTCTGGATATATCTCATCAAACACGCCGCAAAGCGAGTGCGAATGGGGCCACTTTTGGCTGTGGGAATCCAACAAATCTATTACGAATGCCAGTCTCTATATGCTCAAAAGAAATTCGCTTCGCTCCGTCATACAATGTATATCAGCAGCTTCAGCCTGACATACCAGGCCGTTTTCAAGACCTTCACCCAAAAAGCCCTTCCAAATCTACTGCTCTGTCGTCTCGGCCACCTCGTCCCAGAAAGCGCACCTCTTGCCCATGCCGTTGTCCGCAGCATTTTCAACCTTCATCCTCCCCTCGCCTTCAAAAACAACCCTCGACCCGTTCGCTCCCCACGTGCCCCAAACTGGAGCTCCCTCGGTCCGATGCCTGTTAGGATCGAGCGCGCGGACAAACGAGGCAAAGTAGGCCATGACGAGCGGCACGACGGGCGCGTTGTAGGCGTAGTACGAAGCGGCAGTGGGGAGCATGCCCGGACCGAGGACGGCGGGAGCGTCAAAGACGTGAGGTATCCCGAGGCCGGCGGCTGTGTTGTCTGCATCTGGCACGGCGAATCGATAGCCCCAGGCCGGAGACGATGATGCGCCGTAGGCGGTCAGGAGCGAGGTGGAAGGGCAGGAGAAGGTTGCTTCGCCGTAGGCCCGGGAAAGAGAAGGAAAGTAGGGGGCATGGTTTGGTAGGGGCGGCTGGCGGGGGTAAAGGGATGCGAGTGTGTCCTGATGCGTAGCGTTGAGGTGCGGGTACTGGTCGAGGAGGTAGGATGTCTGGTCGGCGGAGCTTTCGGCTTCGTCAGCGAAGACCGAGCCCTCTATGTTCGTTCGTTAACAAGATACAAAACAGGACCGAACTTCAAGCAAGCATGACTTACCATCTTTGCAGACGCCAAAGAGGACGGGTACTTGCACAAAGTTGCCGGTCTTGAACAGCACAGAGGGGTAGTCGACCAGAAGGTCACCGTCGACGCAAGGGGTCCAGTAGAAGTGTGGTGCATGGATTCTGCCGGGAAAGGGCGATATGTCGTTGGCACGTTGCAGGGTTCCCATGGATGTACCGCGGAGGCACTTCATCTTATCTTGGGCACTGCGGCAGCCAACTTCATCGAGGACGCGATCGAACTGGTACTCGAGGTCACTGACGTGAGGCTGCGCCGGGAAGAAGGCCGACTGAGGCATGGCCCCGACGAAGAGGTTGTCGTTGCGGCCGCCGTATGCTGCTAGGTGCATGGCGACGGAACCGGCGCCGGCCCGCCATGGATAATGACGTGGTTGGGGTCACCGCCGAACTGTTCATTGTCAGAGGTTTTAAGACAGCAACATCGACCAAGGGGGGCACCTTACTTTGGATATGTGAGTTTGCACCCATTGCAATAAGCGGCGTTGGTCGAGAAGGCCAACGTTGAGATTGCCGTCTGCTTCAACATCACCGCCAGCGAGGAAGCCGAAGAGGCCAACCCTGTAGTTGAAGTTGATGAAGAGGAACTTGCCGCCTGACTTTTCGACGGCATCCGTACCGTTCCAGTTCCAACTGGCCAGAGTCGAGTAGCCTGCAAACGTCAAAACCTTTTACAACCCGAGGTTCGTGACCGGGGCTCCGAAGCGTGCTTACCTCCACCTTGTATGAAGACCCATACCGGCAGCTTCGCGGACAAATTTCCCACATTCGGCGCCCATATGTTGGCAAACAAGCAGTCCTCGTCATGGCCATCGGCCGGATAAGCTAAGCCAATGGGATAGCAGATGGCACCGTACTGGAAAGGCGTGTGAGAACGAGGTCGATCAATAGGAGACGTGCACGTGGTTCATACCGCCTTGGCCTGCTGGCGCCCCTGATTAGGGAGTGGCTCTTCGGGTGCACGCCATCTACGGTCGCCGGTGGGCGGCAGAGCGTATCGGACGCCGAGATACTGTCGAGTGCCTCCCGGCAGCGTGTTACCGACGTACTGAGCGTAGCCGAGGTCGACGGTCGTCTCGGGAAGGCCAGAAGGGTTCTGTGTGCCGTCATTTCAGGATTCAGGACGTCCGTTTGCGCATGGCATCGTGGATGAACTCACATCGTTGTTGGTTGTGGAAGGTCTGCCGAACCTGAGACCCAGTATAACTGAAATCGTGATAAACAGGACACCGGGGAGGAAGAAGTAGTTACATTTGCGCAGATGGGCTTTGGTGACCTTCATGGTGGATTGAGGGTAGCTTGGAACATGGCGAAGGTGAGTTAGAGTAAGGTAGGTGGAGTTGAAGTTCGGCTGATGGCAAGACGAAGGGTGCGTTTGCAACTCTAGAAAGATTTTGCGGGTATGAGATATGACAGCAGCACATGCAGAAGCAGCGAAAGACTGGCCAAAGGTGGTGAGTTCCCGTCAGTGCACTGGTGATCGTCATGAACGATGGGGCCAGGATGGACTGAAACGCTCAACGTCGAAACACCCCTGTTCCTCGTGGACGGCGCTTTAATTGTATCACGAGCAAAGCGAGCGGCTTTCTTGGGGTTGTCCTGTCTGGCTTAGCACAGAATAACACCACCTTTGATGATGATGATTCGTTTCGAATGAGATACCTCGGACGGAGTTCATCATTCTGGATCTATCAAGGCCGTCTTCTTGAAGGCACGGATGACTGATCACGTGGCGGTCCGTGGATGCGTTGGAGGTTTGTGACGGACGGCAAATCATGAGGCCCAGCCGAGACATGGAGCCTTGGTGCTGATTGCGACCAAAAATAGAAGCAGAGAGTGTGGTGCTGGCGGAATGTTTCTGTTTGGCGGGCGGGCGGCTGAAGGTGTTCGGCCAGCGAATGAAATGTCAACTGTGCCCCGAGATTGCTTTGTCTTTTGAACATTTTTGGTCGGATTCGCTTCTTCTCCCGGAGACTCAAAAGAAAAAGGCAGAGCAGGCAAAGCTAAGGAAAACCACCATCAATGGAGCTGCAGGGTGTGCAATGAATGAGAGACCATGGGCGACGAAAGAGTTGTGGATGCTAGGTACAATGGAGGGGCGAAGTCATGGCACTGGCGTCGTAAGGCTGGGGGAGACGCGAATCGCTTTGCTAGCAAGTGCCAGCCGCCCGTCACTACCTCGAACAGGTCTCTTAGGTGGCCATTGGGGGGGCCATTAGGGGGGAAAGTGCAGTGAACCGCTTAGGGAAGGACCCTGATTCGTGGGTTGGTGCTTCCAGAGACTCTCGGTATACCTCGGCGCCACGCCCAACATGCACCTGACGACAGGTATTGATAGCGTATCCTCTCCCCCCCTCCCCCTTACCCCCCCTGCCCCTACCCGGTTGCCCTTGCACCGCCTCAGCTGCTTGCGCTGCCTTTCGCCGCTCTTTCTCTTGCTTGCTCTTGATGTTCATCTCCAGATCACCTGCCAGAGCATCGCACCTTGAAAGCCAGACTCCACGATCCAGTATCTCAGCAACCACGTTCCCAGGAAGCTCGATTGCAGCTCTCGACGACTTTTGCCATATTTGCAGGTCTCGCTCGACACCAACATCGCACCATCGTCGCCTCTAGCTCAGCATCGCACCATACCCCATCCACAATGTCTGCGTGACAGCTTTCTCGACTGCCTGCTGCGACGGACGGCGAACCCAACAAACCCTGGGTCAACCTCGATATCGAGATTTATCGACATGGCTTCGCCTGCGGAAGACACGCCTGCGCTGAGGTCGTCAGTCGACAAACCCCAGCCCGTCGAACCCCCCGCCGTCGATCGTCTCCCTGACGAGATCATCCAACAGTGCGCAACTCGCTTCCTTGTCTCTGTCTTTCCGTCTCTCCATCTTTTTTGGTCTTGCTGGAACACATGCAGAAACACATCTGACAAGAAACAACTGCAGGATCTTGCAAGACGCCGATGCCGACTCCTTCGCCTCTCTTGTCCTTCTTAACACGAACTGGCGCCGTGTCTCTCAGCAAGCCGAACTCTACGCCTACCACCTTTCCAAATGTCCTTCCTACGCCGCCAGTCACAGCGCCTCCCCCGAGATTGAAGCCTCCGACAATAATCTCCCGCGCTTGCGGGCTCTCTTCGCTAGAGAGGTCAAGCGCAACCTATTCGAGGCTTACCTGCGCCCTGCCGAAACCACCATCAAGCTCATCTCCAACTCCATCTCCTCCTCGTCATGTCCCGGCGGCGAAGGCTTGCAATTCAACCCCTCTCCTCGCGGCCACCATATACTCGCCTACAACTCGTCTCGCATCTATATTCTCGATGTGCGGCCCGCCGACATCCATGTCCGGAGAGAGCTCAAGATTCTTCGCCGCCCCGCCTCCGCCTGTATCAGGGATGACGGCTCGCTTCTTGCCGTCCTGTCGAGTGAGATGCAGGTTGATATTTACGACCTCACACAGTCTCCCCCACGCCGCACCCAGTCCATTATACTCGACAATGCCCCTCGCACCATCGCCATGTCGCCTTGCGGCTCCGTCCTGGCTGCTGCCTACGAGGGTGGCATCGAGGTGACCTCTCTGGCGCCCGGCGCAATGCCCACCGAGAGACGCGCAGTCAAGTGCGACGCCGTTGATAGTCTCGCATTCTCCTTCGATGGCACGCAACTGCTGGGAACAACTGTTCACACGGGCTTGCCGAACACCGTCGTACTGACAGCCCCCTATTATGACCCTGGAAGCATGATGGACGACAACATGAGCGCCCTCTGGACCACGTCCATCCTGTTTCCAAACACAAGTCGTGACTGCAGTCACGCCGTACTGTTGCAAGATACGAGCCGCGAGGAGGCCGCCTGGAGCTTCGCCTACGACCGCAGCTTTGAGACGTTCCGCGCTGTGCGCATCGACGACCTGCGGAACGGAACCTCCTACTTCACGGGGCCGATTCCTAGCCCAAGCGAGAGTGAGCAAGCCAAGCTTGTGCCCTGTACGCTGCCGGCAGCGACATACCATGGCGACCTCGTGTCGGCTGGCTTCAAGGGCAAAGACATCTGGCTGTACGGCATCCCCGAGGACCTCGACGCCGTGCCGGACTGCGGCCCCGCCGTCACTGACAGCAGCCTCTCGACGCCGAACGCTTCCGGCAGGCGGAACAGCAACCCGCCCTCCCGCACGCCCTCGTCACGAACGGCACAGGACAACACCACAAGGCCGCAGTGGCAACTGCTGTGCGACAGGCTTCGCAACACCTTTGTCTGGGGCGCGAAGATTGCCGAGCTTGAAGGTGTAAGCACAGTCAAGTGGGTTGCTGGCTTTGGCGAATCCTCCTCCAGAGAACGCCTCGTCGTTGCTGCCCGTGGTCTCCAGCCTGGCAAATCCATAACGGAAGAGGATGACATTGACTTTGTTGACGGTGGCCGAATCACGCTGCTCGACTTTGATTACGGTACCGCCGACGGTGCGAAGAAGGAGGTTATTATCGAGGTTGGCACCATTGAGCCAGAAGTGTTGGAGGAGGAGCGCCGCGACATCGACGCTGAGGTTGCCATTGTTCGACGCAGGACTGTCGCACAGAGACGAGGAGGGGATCGCCTTATGCGTGCTGCTACCACCGCTGGGGCCGAGGGGCCACCCCTGGTGCCTGACATGCCACCGCAAGAGGATGGTGATAGCAACAACAACAACAACAACAACAACGAGAATGATGACGACGACCCTCTGCTTCCGAGGCGCATAGGTGCGCCGCCACGGCCCGCGCAACAAACTTCCGCAACGCCTACAGCACCGGCAGACAATGAGCACAGGACTATGATGGAGGCGCAGGAAGCCGTCGACGCTCCGTACTCACACGACAACCCACGCTCTACGACAACGTTGCGCCGTGCCGCCACGGCAGCAGCGGTCAACCGGCGACGACAGCCGCAGGAACCAGTCGCTGGTTCGGTCCCCTACAGACGTGCCGATGGTCGCAGGGAGCACCCTCACGAGAGCGATGCTGACAATTGGGTGCCGCCACCACCCCCTTACCAAAAAGACGACCCTGTCGACCTTCCCGCCTTCCTGCGACAACCCGCTGTGACGCCGGCGAGCCAGCAGCGGCAACGCGATCTTCATCCGCCGCGTATCCAGACGGCGGCGCCCACCGTGGGCTCGGCTTGGCCGCTGCCGAACCCGCAGCAGATGGTCAATCAGCCGCCAATCCACACGCGTGGGTATCAGGAACCGCCGCACAGCGCGCATCCAGTGATGCATCGCAGGACGAACAGCGACTCCACAACCATGAGCCGGCCGCGCGCCAGCAGCCAGCCTCGACCCACGACGAGTCCGTCGGTGCACGATGGCGACGACGAGAACATCTACGATGTCTCACCACCTGATTCGCCGCGTCTCGCAGCGCGTAGGAGGAGTGGCGCTCAGCAGGACGTCGCTCAGCCGGCGCGCGACGCATACGATGCCCCCCGCCAAACGAGCTTGAGTAGTCAACAGCATGCCCACGCTCGCCGGCCTTCGACCGCGAATTCACCAGCCGCTCCTCTCCGGAACTTGTCATATCCCTCAGACAGCCAAGGGCCTCCTGTTCTGGACCTCCAAATACCCGTGGTGAACCTTGCGGCAGGTCTGGGGCCGCAGAGCAGCCATCCCGCTACTTCTGCCGAGCCGTTGCCGAGGCGGCTGTCCAATGCGCAGACCTGGCCCAGAGCTCCTGAGCCTAGCGCCGTACAAATGACTACGGCCGGGTATCCTCTTACGGCCCCTGCCGGTCCGGCATCGCCTCGGCGCGTGCCGGTCGGCAGTCGCGGGCGTCCGACGTCGCGGGACTCAGCATCGAGGCCATTCCCACCGATCCGGACGACAGCGCACACGCAAAGCCTGACTGTCGAGGACCAGCCGCTAATCATCAGCACGCCTGGCGGCGTGACGGGCGCATTTGACGCACCCAACCGGCGCACCTCGGGTCGCGGCAGAGGCGAGACGCCGATCTTGGCGCCGATACCGCGACACGTGCGGCCGGCGATAGAGCGGCTCGATCCATCTTATGTGCCGCCAGCGAATGGTGGTGGTAGCATCACAGACCCGAGGTCGTCGTCGTCGCGGTTTATGCCCTCCTGGCTGTCGGCGCCATCGACGGTATCGAACGGACGGCAGTCGCACGGGTCGATTTCGCGCAAGCCGAGCCGCGCCGAGCGCAGCGCCGCGAAGAACATGCAGGACGCCAAGAGACGTGGCTGGGGCGGGTCGAAGAAGAAGAAGAAGAGGAAGAAGCAGCCCGACTTTGACGTTGCGAGCTCGGCGGCGTGGACGGACGTGTCGGCTGCCAGCCAAGGGAACATGGCAGGTCGGGGTGACAAGGCGGACAAGAAGTGTGTCCTCATGTGAAGTGAGGCGGTGCGTTCAGGCGAGGGTCTTGTTGTGTGGTGGGCAATTCAATGTTGGTAGTTATCTTTGGTACACGGAAAGCGTCGTGTGGGAGTATGACATTGGAGGGTTTTTAGCGATGGTGCATATCTTGCCGGTGACATATCTTGGGCATGGTTTAATATACATTATGATATGTATTGATGATTGTGTGGGGCGTTTCTCTGCTCGATCGAGCAGCCTTGGGTACGATTTGTATGCCTTTGTAAAGCATATCTCGAAACAGATGTGAGCTCATGGATTCTACCCACCAGGGCTACCGAGTTATCCTCCTCCCTGAGGTGCCCGCCCCTTTCCCCATGAAGAGACGCGAGTCTCCCGCGAGGGCACGTGACCTACTACTCCTGATTCGCCACTCACCGAACCACCGAGGACCAAACAGGCGATGACGTGCAATTGTGCTCAAGGACGAACAATGACAAATCCACAGCGCCGATTGCCAAAAAAAAAGTGGACTGAGCTTCGTTGACATACGATTTCAGCAGGCAGAGAGCCCGGCTCGACAACCATTTTCCTCGTTCGCATCCCATCGCATCCATCGCAAGAAAAGACAACATGGCCTCCCCCGCTGCCGCAATCTGTGAGTACTCGTCCTGCCCCGAATACTGTGTCCGAAGGCCAATGGCTGACAACAAAACCAGCATCCCCATCTCTCGCGACGCCGGCGCCGGCAGCCGAGAAGCCCAAGGTGCGCACCCATCCCTCTCCGACGCTCCGGATGACCCGATGCCACATGGACAGAGGGCTCCCGCCAGCAGACCCCCCCAAAACTAAGCTAACAGGTTCAGCCCTGCTGCGTGTGCAAGGAGGAAAAGTCCAAGCGCGACGAGTGCATGCTCTTCTCGAACGCGGCGGACCCGGCCAAGGCGTGCGCGCCGACGATTGACGCGTACAAGCTGTGCATGAAGGGGTTCGGCTTCGAGGTCTGAGACGCGGGCCACAGGCTGGAGGGGAGACGGACGGCGTGGGATGCGCTGGTGTACAACACGGGCGGACGTGGGACGATTAGTGTGACTGTATCAGTGGTGGCATAGACGGCGTTGGAATCGCGACTCCTTTTCTTCATGTTTATCTCGCCATGATTGACTCGACTCTACGCCGCGACGTGCCGTCGGATGACAGGGATACTGCGGGAGGCTCTCGCAACTCAACGCCACGACTCGACAAAAGATCAACGGACTCGTTACCGAATAACTCGTACAGAAACCACTTCGAAACCCCCAAAAGGAAGGAGACGGAAATCCGGCCCGCCTACTCACGCTTGACAAGACCGCCGGCCTCGAGCAGCGCGGCCTCGGCTTCCTCGATGCGTCCCTGGACCACCACGCGCAGCAGCGTCTCGAGGCGCTCGAAGCGCGCCTGCGCGCCGTCGACGTGCGCCTGGATGCGCTCCTCGGCTTCGAGCCGGTCCTGCGCCGCCTCGGCGAGGACGTGGATCGAGTGCCTGTCCGTGTTGGCCCTACTGGCGTCAGCTGGCTGCGCACACGAGGGAAGGAGCGCCAGACGGGCAACCATTCAGAGCACAGCACAGATACACGCAAGGGGCAAGGGGCAAGGGGCAAGGGGGGCGTACTGGATGCTCATCTGCTTCTCGAGGGCCTTGAGGAGGGTATCCGAGAGCTCGCGCTGCTCGGCTTCGTAGTCGGCTAAGAGGCGGTCACGGGCGGCTGTGAACTTGGCGTTGATCTGGCGCGGGTCAGTGGGGTGATGAGCAGGTTGGGGAGACGGCGCTGCTTGACCTCCTCGAGACGCTTTTTGCCGCTTTCCATGTCCATGTTGTAGGGCTCGGTGAAGTCGTCCTTCGTCTGGACGGTGTGCTTGGCGGGCTTCCGGGTGCGTCTGCGCTTCGGATCGGGGGGACTGAGGTTGCCGGAGTCGGTGGCAGACATTGTGATGGGTTGAGTCTGGGTTATCTGTGTTCTCGTGGTCTGCTCCTTTGATATGTGGTATTTGGAGGTTCTTCGGGGAGAAGCGGAAGTGGAAGATGGCTAGTCATGATACCGGAGGCAAGAGGCAGGAGAGAGAAGGGCAATCGAGAGTCTCGATTGAAGGGCAAAGGTATTTCAACTAGACCGAGGCTCAGCATGGGAAGGAACCATTCTCAGGTGCCTGACGCCTGTAACACGATGGGGGGATCTAAGGAAAGATGCGAGCATTATCATCCACGACCGCCATTTTGTCAGGATCTCTCGGAACATGCAGATCAGCAGCATAAGACATCAAGCAAATCGAACGAAAAGTCATTGCAGATACGGCTTGGTGCTGCCAATCATGGAGTATTGCCATGTTGACGAGCCCCTGGGAAGCTGGGGAGCTGGGAAGCTGGGTAGTCTCGGTGAACCCCAGGTCAGAGGTCGGTGAACTAGAGACCGGTGAGCAGCACACCGGCCATTCCTCGGCTGCACGAGGCCGACCCACAGACCACTTTGGACCCCACCAAAATTTTCACGATAACGGCCTCTCGATTTTCTTATCACATCCAGCATCGTATCTCAGCATCTTGCCTTTCGTCCTCGAGCGAGCGCTGTCTTTCGTCGTCCTCCTTAGACCACTCATCTCAGGCAATCGCCGCCAATCGCCGCCATGGGTCTCGCGGAGGTCAAATTGTGCGTTCTTCACGTCCACCCGCCACCAGTCTTCCCCCTCCCTCTACAACCCAGCTAACAGGCCAGCCGCCGAAAAATCGACAAGGACCCCAACAACACATCATGGGCCAAAGACACATCGACCTTTGGCCAGAAGATCCTGCGCTCCCAGGGCTGGGAGCCCGGCCAATACCTAGGCGCCAAGGACGCCGCGCAGGCCGAGCACTACACGGCCGCCAACGCCTCGTTCGTCCGCGTCTCGCTCAAGGACGACATGCTCGGCCTCGGCTTCAAGCAGGCGCGCGAGGAGCGGTCGACGGGCATGGACGCCTTTCAGGCCATGCTGTCGCGCCTCAACGGCAAGTCGGACGTCGAGATACAGAAGGAGCAGCAGGCCAAGCTGGCTGTCGCGTCGTCGCTGTACTGCGACAGCAAGTTTGGCCCCATGCGCTTCGTGCGGGGCGGCTGGCTCGTCGGCGACCAGGAGAAGCCGTCGATGGATGATACGAAGAAGGAGGAGGAGGACGACGAAGACAAGGACGTCAAAGTGGAAGATGTGCCCGAGGTGAGCCTCAAGGATGTGTCAAAGAAGCGCAAGGCCGACGAGGTGTCATCGTCCGATGCGGACTCGTCGAGCGAGGACGAGAAGGCCAAGAAGAAGCGCCGTAAGGAGGAGCGCAAGGCGGCCAAGAGGGAAAAGTCCAAGTCGGCCAAATCGACGCCCAATGATACCCAGGACGACACCGAGGAAGGCTCGTCGAAGAAGAAGTCGAAGAAGGACAAGACCAAGACCGAGACGGACAGCTCAGCGGCAGAGGACAAGGAAGCCAGGAGGAAGCGCAAGCAGGAGAAGAAGGAAAAGAAAGAGAAGAAGGCGGCGGCCGCGGCAGTGGACGACTCGGACTCAGATGCCGACAAGGCGGCCAAGAAGGAGAAGAAGAGGCGCAAGAAGGAGCTTAAGAAGGCCGAGGAAGCCAAGGCGAGCGCATCAAGGTCTGCTTCGGGCACAGCGACGCCGGCTTCGGGAACGTCGACGCCGGTGCTTAGGGGGCATCACGCCGTGCGATCGCGGTGGATCGCGTCGAAGAGGATGGCGACAATGGACGACACGGCGCTGAACCAGGTAAGAGCCACTTCATCCGGGCGTGCTGCTACTGTATGCTGACATTTCTTTTGCAGATTTTTGGGATCAAGGCATCATCATGAGCACCATAGACAATTGCAGCGTTTACTTTTGGTTGATCCATGCCCTCAAGGTTTATGAAACCTTTCGAGATGTGACTTTTACTCATTGTGCTGCGGCATCCCAAATAAACAATAGGCTTTTTCTTCGACAACGTATCTCCGACAACTTTAGGACCGCAATTGCCGGATACATAAAGAAACCACCCAGTCCTCAAGTAATTGAGACGCATCATTCATCCCACCAAAAACTCGGACAGCCTCGTCGATCTTTTCTATCCGGCTCTTCAACCATCGACCGTGTTCACCCAAGATGGGTTTCGGCCATCACAGTCTCTTCAGCCAGAAGAAACTTTCCGAGAAGCAACGCGGTAAATTACCAGAATCTGACCCGCCAACAGACACTACTCAGACGCACCGCCCAAGAAAGGACAATCGTTCGAACGCGGAAAATGTTGGCGATGGGGATGATGAACCAGCGTTCAGGGGATTCTTCACGAGGCGTCGAGATCGTAACTCATCACAGGGCGACTCCCGCGATGGCTTGGTGGCGTCTAGGAACAGCGAACCTCCGAGGTCCCTCTTCGCGCCGCCGCCTTCGACTGCAAATCGGCAGACGTCCCCTCAGATGAACCCATGGAGCATCAGCGAAGAGGCTGGAGCCCCTGGCCGGCGGATGGGCCTTGGTCAATATGAAGGCCCTCGACAGCGGCAGGCCACATCTGAGGCGTCTTCTGAGCCTCAATCTTGCAACTGCATGGTTGGTAACTCGGCGCTGACCCGGTTCGGGACGTGTGACGCGCCTGGACACGGTGGAGGGGTTGATCTGGACGGAGAAGAGGTTAGTGACGGACGAGAATCGAGTGTCAGACAGGCTGCTCTGGCTCGGAGGCAGGAAAAGCTCAGCCAAGCAAGGGGTTTGACATGCGAAAGAACGAGAACCATGTAGTTCCCAGTGAGCAGGAGAAGTAAGTGGCAGTTCACGACATGAAGGGTCGAACTAGTGATGGATAGATCCAGAACTTATCCCTACGTTTGATTGAATGAATACCCAGTCAGCAGTACAATGAAACAGGGACTCGATGTAATTCTTCCTTGCCTCTCTACCGCGTCTCACACGCTCATCTTGCATCTCACCTGCACGGCGTTACATAACTTGGACTCGCCACGCCGACGAGTCAGACGACATCTTCCCAGGCGTGATAAGCCTAGTGCATGCATATGGAGTAACTCTCGCGGCTTTGGTGGAACCGTGGAACCCGCCAAGCGGACATCGGCAAAACCTCAGAGACGCTGGGTGGTGGAAAGTGACGATGCGCCGATCAGTTGACAGAGACTGCGTCTGACTTTTTGGCTGCTGTTTCTGTTCTTTAAGAAGTTCTGAGCCACCAAACACTTTCATTTTTGCAAAACACTTTCATTTTTGCCAAATACTCTCACAGACTATCACAAGGCGAAACGTCCGCAACAAGCCAACACTTTGAAGCTCGCCATGCCACCGCTCTATGTGAGGGCGAGCCTCATCTCATCCTGTGTTGCCATGCTCTTCGGGTGAGCCTTGATTTTAGGCCCGTTCTCACCGGCTGCTGACGACAATAGCCTCGACACTGGCAGCATTGGTCCCGTCACCACGATGCCGTCCTTCGAAGCCACATTTGGCCATGTGTCGCCGACCATGCACGGCGTCATCGTCTCATCGGTGCTCATTCCCGGAGCCCTGACGGCCCTTGTCGCCGGTGTTCTCGCCGACCGCTTCGGCCACGTCCGGCTCTTCTCCCTCGGTGCTCTCATTTACGCCGTCGGTGCTGCCCTGGAGTGTGCTGCCACTGTCCTTGGCCTTTTCATTTTCGGCCGCCTCGTCAAGGGTGTCGGTGAGGGTCTCTTTCTCAGCAATGTCTACGTCCAGGTCTCCGAGATGGCCCCGGCACGAAGGCGCGGCGTCATGACGGCGCTGCCCCAGTTCCTCATCGTCACTGGGATCGTTCTCGGTTTCTTCATGTGCTACGGCACCGCCCGACTCGGGCCCTCGACCATTGCCTGGCGTCTGCCCCTTGCCGTTGCCTCGGCCCTGGGCTTCGCGCTATCGAGCGCATACTTCCTCGTGCCGCCCTCGCCGCGTTGGCTCCTCTCCAAAGGTCGTTTCGACGAGGCCCGCGCTGTTGCTGTGCGTCTCGGCCTCGACGAAGCTGAGCGAGCGGATCTGCTCGACCGCCGCACTCATGAGGTCGCCGCCCACGCCAATGCTACACTTCTCGACGAGCTGCGGCACACGGCGTCCAAGTTTCGCGAGGCCTGGTCGGCGCCATTCCGCAGCCGTACGGCCTTTGGCTGCTTCATCATGGCCATGCAGCAGTTCAGCGGCATTGACGGCGTGCTCTACTACGCGCCCATTCTTTTCGCCCAGGCTGGCATTGACGGCGACGAGGCCACTTTCCTCGCCTCGGGCGTCTCAGCCCTTGTCATTCTCGCCGTCACCATACCGGCCACCTTCCTCGCCGACAAATGGGGCCGTCGCACCTCGAGTCTCGTCGGCGGCGTCGCCATCTCGGCCATCATGCTTGTGATGGGCTCGCTGTACGCCGCCGACGAGGTCCACGCTGACCGCGGCGCCGGCAAGTGGATCGTCATCGTCTCCATCTTCCTGTTTGCCATCGTTTACTCGGGCACCTGGGCCATCGGCTTCCGAACCTTTCTTGTCGAAAGTCTGCCGGCGACGACGAGGAGCAGCGCATCCAGCCTCGCTCAGAGCGCCAACTGGGTATGTCCCCTTTTCTCTCATGCTCCTCTCTCACACACCGCGCTGTCGCTGACCGTGTAGCTTGCCAACTATGTCGTGGCGCTCATCACGCCCGTGCTCGTTGCCAAGTCGTCCTTTGGCGCATACTATCTCTTCGCCTTCGCCACCCTCTTCTGCACCATCGTCGTCGCCCTCGTCATGGTCGAGACGCGCGGGCACAGCCTCGAGGAGGTCGAGCGGCGCTACCTCGAACGCAAGAGTCGCGCCTCTGGCGTCGCTCCTGGCGGCCTGCGTCTGCGTCGCATCCGGACGGCTGCTTGATGGCCTCGTCACTGAGACGTGTGGCTTGATGTCGTTTACACTGCGGTTGGGGGATCACAAGGTATATTGAGGAGCTGCCCTCTACTGCCTAGCACACGACATCGACGCCGAATGGTGCCGTGTTCGACCTGGAGTCTATTTAGGGACATGTCACATCATGCATGGAGCACACAATAAGGTTGATGGGGCCAAAAATCGGCCTTGTCACCGTTGTCCAGCCTGACTTGGCGATCACGCTGTGGGGGAGAAACCGCCTTGGCTGTAGGCTCTTCCACAGCATGTACCGATTGGGGAATGTTTCGGAATGCTGCTGCTCTGACTTTTCGCAAAAATGGGGTTCCTATTATAGCTCTGACACAGTCGGGTATACATTCTTGGCCTCGGCTGTGGTGGCGCGGTGTCAACTTGCATTTTCCACTACGAGTGTCGGACAAGCTTGCTGCATGTTGGTGGCCTTGCGCGTCTCAATATATGCGGTTGGTAGTATGATCGAGTCAGGAGGGGGCCGAAAACGACCCTGTTGGTGACCCTTTGCAGGCCTTGCATGCGTTGGTGTGAGATTGAAGTATAGAGCGCCGATCTTGAAACACAAGGGAAGAGATACGATTGCGAGCGCTTCTCTTGTGATTTTAGAACAGGCACCATGTATGATGGTTATTGGTTGTTTGTCACCCCTTCTCCTTTCAGCATCGCAGCATGGGATGCTTCCTCGCGGGGTGGGCAATGCCAAAGTCCCTAGTTTTCTTACGCCAAGCGAGCAAAAATCTCCGTAATGGACTCTTTGCTGCAGTAGCGTTGATAGCGGGATTGCCAGCGCTCTGATGAGACGATCGAGGCCTTTCGTGGACCAGGCTGTGGATGTACACCCCAGTCACCACGCCATCCAAACCCATGTTGCCCTCGACATCCCCAGATCTCAGCTCTCCCCATCGTCGGGTTGGGCTCTCTGGCACGGACATGATCCTGCAGGGGATCAGTCAAGCCCCTCACGCTACTCATTGGGGAGATGCAACGTCGGCAGCGTATGCGTGTATGTCTGGACGCGAGCCGCAGGCAGACTATAAGCCGTGAAGGACCCAACTGAATGGGGGGCCCCTCGGATTCCAAAGAGGTTTGTCAAGTCAGAATATTGACATCACTCAAATGTTGCCCCAGCTTGCCTTGACCCTGTGTGCTGGCGCCTTGGTTGCCGCCAGCGTCACAAGACAGCCGGCCCTCGATGTCTCAGTTCGCAGCGCCCCTGGGATGACTCCCGAGCAGACCATACATGCTATCCGCCGAAGTCTCGCAAAGGCGTCTCTAGAAGAGCGTCAAGATGAACTGGGCAACTCAACGTCACTTGACAAGAGCTTCAGCAATGCCGTGCTATTCAGATAGTGTGTCACCTCCCACGTTCCCCCTTTTGCTTCCATCCACAGCCAAGCTGACACACCCAGCGGCGCCGAGATCAGCAAAGAAGTCGGAGTTGACCTTCCCAAAGACAATGAAGCTACGGCAGACGCTTCATTGCACGCTTCGGTTGAGGTGCTCTGTCGCACATGCTACATTAAGGGTACTGCCAACGTCGATCTGACCATCGATGGAGACTTTGACGCTGGCGCCGCGATTCAAAGTCTCGGAAACAAGTTTGAGGCCGTCATCGACAACATGACTGACTATGTCGACACGTACATCCGCGACGTTTTTGACAAGGTGCAAGAACAAGGCGTCAGCAGTAGCGCTTTTGACCTGCCTCCGCTTGACGTGGATCTGAGCCTTGACATTCAGGGAATTCCTGAGTGCCAGCTGCACTTTGGCTTCGATGGCCTCGAGTTGTACATGGATACCCAGCTTACGATGACGGCGGGCGCGACGTATTCTCTGAACCTGTACACGTCGGTGACGCCTCTCGGGTTCAAAGTCGGCGATGTACTCGTCGGCGTGACCTTCGCCGTCGACCTCCTCCTCAGCGTCGAGTCGGAAATCTCCGTTACGAGTGGCTTTCATCTAAAGTTGGAGGACGGCATCGCTATTGATATTGCCCTATTCTCAGATGAGGTCTCCGTTATAGTCTTGTGAGTGCACCTCTCCTTTCATCGGCTACCAGCATGAGCCCTTCGAACATGTGCTAATATCAAATCCCAGTAACGGCGGCCAGTTCGAGTTCCTCCCGGTCACAGTTGAAAGCGATGGCGTGACCTTCAGAGCTCTCCTCCGCGTCGCCATCCACGCAGGTCTCGAGCTCCACACCCCCTTCCTCCCAGATCTGTCTGCCGGGGACTTCGAGCTCCCGAGCGCAGGTGGCGGCATCGAGGTTGCTGTCTGGGCGAATCTCGCCGACCTTAGGACGAGCATCATCACTGGCAGTACAGACTCTGATGTTCGTCAACGCGATGATGATGACCAAGACGATCACGACGAAGAGGATGAAGACTGTCGGCTTCGCGTGAGGCAGGAGTTTGTTTTCGCCCTGGGTGCCGCTGCTGGCGCGACTGTCGCCATCATGGGCCAAACTTGGGGGCCGGCTCCGAGCACGGAAATCCCCATCTGGTACACAACGCTGGCAGATGAATGCGTCGTGAGCCCGAAGGCGACTGCGGCTAGCACCTCAAGGCTCGGCGAGCGGCAGGATGATGAAGAAGACGAGGAAGACCGCACGACGACGACGCTGACGAAGGAGACTGTCTTTACAGCACTTGAGTGCATTTCTATCGGACTAATGAACTGCCCAGCGTCGTTGCAGAGCCTGCGCGAGGTGACCGAGGTACAGACACTCGTGACGGCAGTCGCGTCAGGCATTGAGGCTGAGTGGCCAGAGGTGACGGCGATGACGATCAACCGCGTTGTAGAATTTGGGTCGGGTGCGCTGGGACTTGAATCGACATCTGGGCCGCCCGTGTCGTATGTTCCACCTCCACCGCCGCCTACAGAGTCACCTACTTCGGATGACGGTGACAATGATGCGGAGGGGTCCGAGGGAGACGGTATTCTGGACGGCAAGGCTAGGGGGGTTGACAAGAAGGTTATCCTCGGCGTGAGCATTGGTCTCGGCGTCCCAGTTCTGCTGGCCGTTATTGCCAGCATCATGTTAGTGCATCCAGTTCCTACCCTATCATTTTGCAGACCACGGCTGATCTGCGTTGCAGATTTCTTATTAGACGCCGACGAGGTGCGTTGGGTGCTGTGTTCCAGCCAGACCAAAGCAGCATTCAGTATACTGCTGTCGAGTCTCAGCCAAAGAGCAATGATGTCCAACATGAGGTCAGGAGTGTACGGCAAGACTGAGATTGTGCTTGCAGGAGATGTGACGGGGAGATTCTTTCAAGATACCATGCTTTATGTTACACGCCAGCGATGCTCTAAAATCGAATCGTCATGTGCTCGGGAATGCTGAGATTGGTAGCGCCACAGCAGACAGGCACCTTCAACAGCCGGCAGCGCCTCGCGTCTGATTGTGGCTTTGCCAGGGTGTTTCGTCTCGAGAGATGCATTTGCTGCCCTCTGGAACCTGTGGTTAAACCTTCGCCATTCGTCATCTGAAGGCCAATCTTCGTTCCGCAGGACCGTGAACTCAGGCACAGGTCGGTCTGGGTCATGCTGTAAGCCGGGTGAATAGGGGAACAGGGCGTTCTCATATGGCATACGCAAGAAATAGTTGTTGCTGTGCAGGTCATAAGCAGGCTTGAATCGGAAGCCTCGATGTGCATCATGCGATCCCGGAGGAATACTCCTGAGCAGAAATAGTGGTGGCAGCTGTGGCTCTGCAGTAGACAAGTCCCATTCGAACTGAAACTCCTGATGGACGATGAATAGAAGCCTTTTAAGCTTTGGCAACTTGGAGAGGCGCGACAGCAGGACGCCGATGTTGGTCTCCAACACCTCTTTGCCGAGGACTGGATGGGTTAACCTCGTGTTCATGCCGTAGGATGTGCCAAGGGCGAGGCACGTGAGGTTGTTTCGCACCAGGGGGACCTGGATGAGGAACTGCAGCGTCCGGAGGAGCCTTTTGACCAACAAATATGGCTCGAGGAGGATAATGTCGCGACTGAGATCGACATATTTGGTGATCCCGGACAAGGTGAGGGCCCGAAAACGGCGCAAGGTAAAGGCCCTGGTCTCGAGGCAGACGGCCGCCAGTATCGGCGGGGGTTCATAACGGACATTGGCAAAAAAGAGACCGTCGACAGCCGGCGTCTTTTGTTTGGCTTCGGGGCCATCAAGGACCTCGTAGATGCGCGGTGCCGGGAGGGCGAACTCCCAGATGATGTGGCGAAGCTCCGGTGGCAACTTTAATATGGGAAGCGTCTTGTTGAGGGGCCAGCGGTCAGAATGCGACGTGGGCTGGGGCTGCCAGCCAATGGAGGGGATAGCGAGAACGGCCATCGAGTTTGTATTCAAGATTGCAAGAGAACGTGTGCATCAAGAACTGGTTCCGGCATTAGAAGCTTGATAGTTTTCCAACTGAAAGAGCATCGAGTGTGCAATGTAGACTGCCTGGCATCCAAGTCACAGTTTTGGTGTCGCGGTTCATCCTGCTGGCAAAGAACTCGTCGGCACCCAGATGGCGAGCTTCAAATGACAGCATGGCGGCTTTGGAGCACATGCATGAATGGAGATGTCATGAGTGTCTGGCTAATGCACCACGCGCAGGACTATTGCTCTCTATGAGTGCCACGAACCCAACAGAATGGGCGATGCATTGCGGGTGGAGCGCCAGGGCGAGGGGTCATGGGTAGCTAAGCGGCAGATTAGCTATAGCGGTCAGCAGAAATAAAGTGCCATGTCAGCAGCTATGAATACGGCACCTGGCGTGCGGCATGTAATATGATTAGGGGAAGGCGACTGGAGGACGGGATCCTGAAGACTAGAGACTGTTCGTTTAAAGCAAACGAGGCGAGACAAGTCTAGACTTGTAAAGCAAGAGGGTGTGCTGCTGCGCCGCTGACATAAGTGAATGACGTTATCGTTTGTCTTTGATATCTTGCAGCTCATGGACTGGAACCGTTCAAAGGAGAGAACAGAGAGGCCTCAATGGGAACCATCTGAAAAGGTCAAGTAAGGTAAAGTAGGCAGGTCGAGATCTAATATTCATATAGGGCCTGGTGGATCCAGAAGTTAAACCTGATGTCACCAATTTTATGCTGAGTACCTAGCCACGCTGAGCAATATGAGGATTCGGAAAATGACAATCAAGTTCACCATATTCTGGGAATGTGTATTCCAACAATGCTTTGAAAAATAACGAGGAAAGTTCGAGATCTCATACACACTCCCATCGGATGGCCAGTCTTCGCATGACAGGAAGGACAGAGTCAGCTCGAAGAACGTCTATCGGTGTGGTGGCGATCTCTCGGTGAGCGACCCCTTAGAGCCCCTTTCGTTCTCAACTTCCACATCTTTCGACTTTTCCGTCCAGAAGAGCTAAGTGCACTCATGTCCCTGCTAGAAGTCAACACCGGTACATTCTTCACCGAGCCACAATCCACGCAATAGCTAGCGGCTAAGCTCAAACTAAATCTTAATTCCGTGAACGACGTCCCCGCGCGCGGGGAAGCTGGGGAAATGGTAGAACGGGAATCATTTGGACTGACTCGCGACCTCCTACGCCCTGTACAGGCTCCAGTTCGAGGTAGCGCCACGACTACCCTACGGCTGTTGGCGTCCACGTGCCATTGCCTGTCCGCTAGAATGATTCCTTTCATGCGATCTTTGTGTCCATCGTCCCACCCTCATCGTTCGTCTCGAATAGTCTACCACGACCAAGTCAACAACTACCAAAGCTCGAGATTCGAAGCACGAGACCAAGGCGCCCCTAATCGCTCCAACTACGAGCATTCGTCGAAGAATGCTCCCTCACGCCGTCCGCCGTACGGGAGGTCACCTCAGCGCCGGAGCGGAGAACGCCTAGACTCGGTACAAGCGGCGGGGAGCCTGCCAAGATGGCTGGCAAGAAGCGTGTGCGTAACTTCACAGCCGATGACCGCGCGACTCATCGCATATTTGAGAAAAACCGACGCGAAGCGTTCAAGAGCCGTCTGATTGTGGGTCTTACCGAGTCCCTGCCATCGTCTTTGATCTGTTGTGCTCGTAAGGTATCTAGCGTGGCTGACGATGAGCCAGGAACTTGCAACTCATCTTCCAGCCCTCGGCGGCACTGACCCTCAACGCCTTTCCAAGCACGTCGTGGTCCAAGAGAGCATTGCTCGTCATAAGCTCATGAAAGGCCTCTGCTCTGATGCGTTCCAAGACATCCGCGCTCTGGTCCAAGAGCGTGATGAGCTCCTTACTCAGGTCAACCACCGTCGGCTCATTGACGGTTTGGCGCCACAGGCTCCGAAGGCCGTCAATCTACATCTAGACCGCCTTGTGGAGCAAGAGAAAGAGTCTGGGAGACGCGATGACGTGGAGAGAACCGCAAACGCCGAAGGCAGCAGCTCTGTATCGCCCACGGCCGCTTCAGGTCCTATGCCTACTCTAATATCCCTGGGAATCCCAGCGCCCGCAGCGGAAACCACTCTCCTCGACCGTTTCTGGGATGTGACGCATGAGGAGCCGATTTCCAACACGATCACATTGCCTTCACAAGATTTGCCATCATTCGCTACACAGGATCCCTCGCAAACCTGCGACGGCATATCTTCTTCTGCTCCAGCCCTTCAGGACGTCCCTTTCCTGAATTTTGACTTAACAGAAGGAATCTCACTTAATCAAGGGCTCGCTTTCGACAATGAAATTGGCTCACAATCCGCGATACCCAATAATTCGATCGCCATGTCCATATCGATGCCATACGTGGGAGATTTGGATCCCTCGAACATTGACCAAAGAACTCACGAGCATCATGACCAATGGACACTTTCAGGAAGACTTTGTACAAGGTGCGCATATACGGGCCAAACTATCTAGTTCCTCAGCGCTTCATCAGACCGGGACTACCCACCATGAGTCGCCTACTTTCCGGCCCCTATAGCACACACAGTCACTTGTCTCGATCCTTTCACGACACCCAATGAAAAAGAATGTAGCTAGAATTGCTCATCATAAATAGCTTTGGAGACAGCGCAAGCACTCAGACCAAAGGAAGCACCTCCTCAATCTTAGCACGGCTCCTCTCCTGCCCGCCTGTGAAAAGGGCCATAGCATCGGCTAGTCTCTTCTTCGTCACGGCGTCCGCCTCGATAGCGTTCTGCAGGGACGCGCCACCGTCAGCGAGATAATCCACATCTGTGCTTGCCAACTTCCCGTCCCAGTCAGGACCAGCCAGGGGGTCGATGCTGAGAAGCTTGCGGAGGCGGTCCGATACGGGCGGGGCGTCTTTGTAGACATGCGCCGGCTTAGGGACGTCGGGGCCCGGCTGCTCAGAGGCAACGTAGCGGAGCTTGGCAAGCTCGTTGAGGACCGTGTGCGATATAGTCGCTGAGTGGCAGCCCATTTCACCGGCAGCCATGGCTTCTTGAACAGTGATGAAACTAGGTGGGAGTTAGCGTGTAAAATTGGACACCATGCGATGATCTTGCCTGGCATTTTTGACAAGTGGTTGCTCCTTGCCCGTCTCTCTAAATAGACGCTTGTATGTCTCGATGATCTGTACAATGCGGGCGGACATCGGGTGCTCCACTGCTGGATCTTTCACGTTGGGCCACAACTCTGGCTCGTCGTGCGCAAGAACTTCTGCAAGAAACACGATTAGCCAAATGACCAAAAACAGGTGTCTTGGTGTCCCAGATCTTTAACTTGCCATTATAGTAGGGGCTGATGTAAAGCATGCCAGCCTGGCTGCACGCAATGGCTTGCGGAAGACTGAACAGAGCCGTGCCGAGTGTAGGGATACCCTCCGATGAAAGGACCTTGGCTGCGTTCAAAGCAGGGCCCGTCGAGGGGATCTTGATGCAGTATCTGTCGCGACCGATCCCGGCACGGGCGAACTCTTTGTCATAGAGACGCGCGTGGTCGAGGGTTTCCTGGAAGCGGAAGGCGTTTGACGGAAGCGTCTGGAGCAGAACGCGGCCCCTAATAGAGTTGATATTCTTTTTGCACATCAGAACAGCCTGCACATGATACGGTCAATCAGGAGCCCTTGAGTCATATTGCATGGACATGGGCCGCTGACCATGCGAGTGTAGATGGCAAGCCAACCGTCGTTCTTGAGTTCCTTGGCCGTCTCGAGCAACAGTTCCCGGTTCGAATCATCGCCGAGTTGAATATCAACCCAAAGTTGATTGCTAGTCTGATCGTGAGGCACGATTGGCATGCCTTTGATGTATTCGGGGTCCATCCAGTCGACGTCCACATTTACTGTTTGCATCAGCGATATTCAAGGCCGGCCGAGTATGCGCCACCTACGCTGCTCCTCGAGCTTGTCGAGCCATGTTGGTGTGCCGGCACTGCCCATGTTTGGCGAAAGTCGAGATGGATATGTTGATGTAATCTTGATGAAAGCGTTATTGTCAGGTGTTGTATCTCGTCGCTGAGAGGTCAGCTTGGGCACAACGAATCCAAACAGTCAAGAAGAAAGTGCGGTACGCCTTTTTAAGCGTAGCTAAGTTCTATCAAATCTTCTACTCAATCTCCGACTTCTTGGCTTCGGCATCTTCAACATTCTTGCCGTCGTGCCCTGCGTGTGTTGAATCCACCAAAGCCATATGATGTTGATGGACCTGTGCAGGTACCCGGATATGGCCAGTAGACATCGGGTATTCTCCAGAGCTCGCAAAATGGCACACACAGGGCATATTCAAATCGACAAAGATCGGCGCGGCAACAACTGCTAAGCTCCTAAATTCTTACCAGGAGGAGGGAGCGGGGGACTTGGGGCGCTGGAGCTATGCTCGAGTCAGAGACTCAACTCCAATGTACGCTACTGCTGAAACATTGCGCGGAGAGTCGGGGAGCTAAGAACCCCTCTTCTTCGCAGGCAACCTTTCACCAACACTCCGGCACTTGACCTTTTCTTGACTAGGCCACCCAGAGCCCTGCACAGGTCGTGAACGGATTCGGCGACATGGCACACGCAGGGCACTGCCGTTGGAGGCGCCCTGGGAGTGTTCCTGTACAGGTACAGGACCCCTCCTCGGCTGATTGCCGCCTCGCTCCGAAGCCCTCGCGAGCTGCAATGTCGTGGAGACGGTGACGGCCCCTCGATATCGAGGCTACCCCATGGGGAAGAGCTGCAGCTTGGTCCATAAATATAAGAGCCGCAGGTACTTTGGGCTCCAGAGTTCGATATTCAAGGTCCATGTCTGATAACTACAGAAACGGATCACTGCTAAGTCATATCGCCTTCGACTGTCGTTTGACTCCTCCGCCATGGCTCGCATGTCTGATGACGAGGGCGACATCAAGCCCAAGCTCGATGCCTCCCACGTGGAGTTTACGGAGCAGGACTATGCTCGTAACATAAATGCCAGGTGAGCGGAGTAATGGTTTGTACTTGACCTTGTTTGCTAAGATGTGTTAAGAATTCGTAACCCTTTGATTGGCATTGCGAAGCAAGACCTGAAAGTTCAGACTGACGACTTTTGTCAAACCTTTGGATTCAACGGCAAAGAGGACGTTTTCTATCGCGGTGCCCTCGCAGCCCAGAATCCGGAAACATGGGAGCAGTTCGAGGAGATGACCGACGACGACCGTCACTTTCTCCGCCGTGAGACTACCCATAAGTGGCATTTGCCCCGTCAACTCTACTACGCCATCGCGATCTGCTCTCTCGGCTCAGCTGTTCAAGGCTGGGACAATACGGGTGCGAATGGCGCAAACCTGTCTTTCCCCGTTGAGTTTGGAATCGAGCACAGGGAGATGCTTGTAGGTGCCATTAATGCGGCTCCCGCTCTCGCCGGTCTGTTCTCCGCCTGGGCTGCCGATCCTGTCAACAACCTGCTCGGACGTCGCGGGACCATCTTTGCTACCGGTCTGTTTGCCATCTTCCCGGTCCTGGCTCAAGGTTTCGCTCAGAATTGGTGGGGTTTGCTGATCTGTCGACTCTTCATGGGAATCGGTATGGGCATCAAGATTTCGACGATCCCAATCTACTCGGCTGAGATTGCGCCGGCCATTATTCGAGGTGGAATCGTCACGAGCTTCCAACTCTGCGTTGCGTTCGGCATTTTCGTTGGCTTCTGTTCCAACCTGATCTGGTTCCGCATTGGTGATCTCGCGTGGCGATTTCAGCTCGCTGCTGCGTTTGCCCCTGCCATTCCTGTCGTCATCTTTGTTTGGTGGTGTCCGGGTGAGTGCTTCGATGAACAAGAGGAAGGGTCGCCAAGCTGACACTGTTCCGTCCAGAGTCCCCCCGCTGGCTCATGAAGAAGGATCGAATGCAGGATGCCTTCAAATCGTTCTGTCGCATTCGCAACACTGAGATGATGGCTGCTCGCGACTTGTACTATGCCCATTGTCAAGTGCGCGAGGAGAGGAACGCCTTCGGTGGCAAGACGCTGCGCACAAGAGTTATGGAGCTGCTCACAGTTCCCCGCCTGCGCCGAGCGACTGTGGCGAGCGCTTGGATCGTTATCGGGCAGCAATTTTCCGGTATGACTGTACCCTCCCAAAAGTCCAGTGAATAGCAGACAGTAGCTGACCAGTTTGAACCAGGCATCAACATCATGGCTTTCTACTCTGCCACAATATTTGCCGAGGCTGGCTACTCCCCAAAGCAGTGCCTGCTTGTCTCGATGGGGTTTGGGCTCATCACGTTCGTCTTTGCGTTCCCAGCCGTGTACATGATGGACACCTTTGGCCGCCGGAACCTGCTGATGATAACGTTTCCCAACATGGCCTGGTGTCTTGTTGCCGCCGGCACGTGCTTCCTCATTGACGAGAACGTGTCTGCTCGAGTGCCCCTTATCGCGTTTTTCGTGTTCCTCTTCTCCGCCATGTACGGCCCTGGTGAGTGAAATTCGAGCTGAGCTCTGAACTCAAGATGGACGTGGCAGCATGCTGACGACTGCTCAGGAATTGGGCCACTCCCCTCAATCTACTTCTCCGAATCTTTCCCCCTGTCGCATCGCGAGATTGGCGGCGCTGTGACCATCATGGTCAACAACGCGTTCAGCAGCGCTCTGACGCTTAGCTTCCCGTCTCTGCTCAAGAATTTCGGTCCGACGGGAGCTTTCTGCTTCTACGCAGGCCTGAACATTCTGGCGTTCCTCGTCATTTTCCTGATCATCCCCGAGACCAAGTAAGTCCTGACAGAAGAGATGCTCGAATCCATGCCGGTTCCTAACATCTGCCACCAACAGACAGAGAACGCTCGAGGAGCTTGACTACATCTTCAGTGTTCCCACTCGACGCCATGCAGGGTACCAGGTGCGGACCTGGCTGCCTTGGTGGGTAAGGCGTTACATTTTCTTCCGCAGGGATGCCAAGCTAGAGCCTCTGTATCACCTCGATGCGCGTCAAGAGTGAAAGGTGGCTGACGTTGGAGCAGTTTGAGGAAGCAAGGTTTGGTGTGTGTGGTGTTTGTTTCTTGATAGTGGAAGCCCGGCTTGGTCAAGTATCGATAAGTGGAATGCCAAAAGGCGTGCTCAGGGTGTCTGCAGTCTTTGAGGTCGTCCAGTGATCATAGAGTCCCATGCCAATGGTGAGCATTGACAGGTGGTCTCACTTGATGCAAACCGCTAAGGGAGCATCTGGAGGCGAAAGGTTCGCAGCCATAACGTGTAGAGACAGACCGCTGGTCGCAGAACTCGGCACAGGCAGTCTCCTCTGTAGCAAAGTCAAGAACTCCTGACATCAAGAGTTGACGAGCCTTCAGACGGATCAACGAAAACCCGTCCCCGGATCGGCAACACAATATCCCGATCAGATCGCTGCAAGCAAGACCCAGCAAGTGGGGCGGCCAGGCGCCCCGTCGCATCGCGACTACAAAACTCTGCGCGACCGCGCCTGCTTTTACATTTTTCTTCTTTTTCTTCTCTTCGTGCGGCAGGCATAACCTGAAATTGTTTCCCCATTGCTCGAATCCTCATCAGTGGATATATCGGAGCGTCAGTTATGCCCCAGAACGATCAAAATTGCAGGCTGGCTTTTCCTCTTTTCACGCGGTCCTGGTCTCAGACGCTCCTCCTTTTGGTGGGGGCGGGATCGCGGCGAGGAGGTCGGACATATTTTACTCTCGATGAATCGTGACCATCGGGCTATTGGTAGATCCTGATCTCGGTGGACGCGAACGTTGTACTCGTTATCGTGACCGAGACAGTTTGGGCTACACGTCTAGTGATTGTCAGACTCAGCGTGCAAAGCATATCCCAGACGCGCCCGGGGTTGACATTTGCAATGCACCCCCTTGTGGCACTCATGATGATTTCTATACGCCGTGGGGTCGCTACCTATGCTGGCTCCCGTCCCTATGTCTAAAAGCAAAACCCGCCCGTCATCTGTCCGGATGTTTCTCCTGCGTGCGCCCACGCGACCGGTATCACGAAGCCCAACCGTAAAGCGATCTGCGACTATTCGCCAGGCTCGTCGCCAATCTTCTCGAGCTTGCCCATCTCGCGCTTCTCGCCGCTGTCGCCGACAAGGCGCACGCGGTCCAGCCGCACCTTGTCGCCGTCGCCGTCGCCGTTAACCACGTACAGCACGAGGCTCGTAATGTTCTGGAACTTGACGTAACGCAGGCTGATGTTGGCCGTGCCCGACGCGTTCCAGTCCTTCTCGGACAGCTCAATCACTTGCGTCGGTGGCGTGTCGTCGGCTTCGGCAAAATCGAGGTTATGCGGCTTGTTCGTGTAGAGGTGGATGGTGCGCGGGCGCATCGGGGCATCCTCGTCGTCGTCGTCGGAGGGAGGGAGCGAGGTGATCTGCTCGTCTGTCAGACATGTTTTGTTTGGCCATGGCGCGACCTTGGTCGGGGAACACTCACGTGCAAGGTGTGCAGCTTCAGCATGGCCTGGAAAGGCATAAACAGGAGCAGCTGGTCGTCCTCGCCACTCTCGACCCAATCTTTGACGCCCTCCTTCTTGTCCAGCGCGCTGGGCTTGCTGCCATCGAAGAGGACGCGCACAGAGCCGGCATCGTCGTCGGCGTTGAGGAGCTCGCAGCCCTTGGGCTCGATCTGGTCGGTGATGTCCTGGTAACCGCGGGGTAGCTCGGCGCCCTTCCACACACCGCCGCTACCGCTGCCGCTGCCGCTGCCGCTGCTGCTGGCGCCGCCCGATGCGCCGCCGCCGGCGAGAACCTCGGCCGCCAGTCTCTGGACAACGGATTGGAGCTTGCGGGGGTCGGCGCCCTGGATCTTCTCGAGGACCTTGCCGTTCTTGAAGACCATGAAGGTCGGCAGGGCGGTCACCTGGTGGGCGGCGGCGACATCGCTGTTGGCCTCGGTGTCTACCTTGAGGAATTTGACGCTTTCAATCTCGGCGGCCGTCTCGGAGAGCTGCTGGAACAGGGGCGCGATCTGTTTGCAGGGACCGCACCAGTCGGCGTAGACTTTGAGTGTCGTAGATCAGCGTCGTGTACGGGTTAAAACAGTGGCTTGGTAATCGCGGGGTTGCATCGATCGGTCGATGCGGTGGCACTTACAGTCTACGACGACATAGGGGGTCTCCTTGACCAGTTTGTCAAACTGCGCCTTCGAGCTGACCAAAGTAATGGAATTCGACATCGTAGGCAGATGCGGGAGGTGATGTGATGTTGGTGGGAGGGAGATGGGAAGGAGGAAACAGACCAACATGGTAATGCGGGAGGTGCCGCAGCCGTTGTACCTGCCCAGGTACCTAGGTACCTAGGCTTGCTAAGGTAAGGTACCTCAGGTACTTACAAGTACGCTGAGTGGGTGGTGGGATTCGCCAGGACCCATTGCCATTGCCTGTGAACGCGAGACTTGTAACACACAGCTACCCCGCTCTAACCCGACTGAGAAGCTACGAGCTGATTACGTGAGCCGATCTTTGCAAGAGATCAACCTCCTCCTTCTCCTTCCATCAACGAGCATTCACTACATACCTAGACATCGCCGGCTTAATCACCTGGACAACATACAGCACAACCTAAGGTATTTCAGAAGCAGACGTGCACATGGCTTTCGTGGCGAGCTCTTCACTGCAGGCAAGACAAAGCTTTGTATTGACAATTATCGCAGGCAAGGAATCATCTACACTGACAGCTACGTCCGTCCAGGCTAGAGTGCATCGCTGATTGAGGGCATGTCATCCATCTCGTATGGCCCATTGTTGTCTTTGTCGTGATGCTTTGGCCAGAGAGCTTCGCTCGTGCTACGACCGCTGAGTCGCCCTGAGCGCTTGCTTGGTCCCCTCGCGGCGGAGCATCTCGCCTTTACACGTTGAGACCTTCGTAGCTGCCGATAGCGACAGTGATGGTACCCTTGAGGCTCTGGGCCTGGCTCTGCAGGTCCTCGGCACGGCTCTCAACAGCATCGATGAGCATGAAGGCGGCAGTCTGTGCTGTGTCAGTCCAAGGCGCGCATCAACAATGTGGGGAAACACTACGTACGTCAACAACTTTCTCGATGGAACGCAGCACAGCGGCAACGGGCTGTCCAATGATGGGCACGGTGTTGAAGAGACCAGCCTTGCCGATGAGAATGTTCAGGAGAACCTGGTGGACCCTGACGAACTCGCGGAAGGCGTCGAAAATGGCATCCGACGGGGGACCGGCGGGGACATCGGCCATGCCCTGCATTTGCGAAATGGCGACCGTGGCGGTGCTCACAATGTCGGTGAACCCAGTGATCAAAGCCTGCAAGATCATGTTAGTACAGCACACGGCGGATGAAGCAGGACGCGTTTTCTCACGGGGAAGGGACCGAGGCCCACGACGATCAGAGGGCCATTGATGATACTGATTCTCTGCGCAGGAGCCTGCAGGGCCTGCGATTTAGTCGTGAGGGCCTCGATATTGTCAACGACCTGGGCAGGCGTAATCTGGCCAAAGGCAGTCTGGCTGCAAACAGCCAGGGCGGCGACGACAGACTTGAGGAGGGAAAAGCGCATCTTTACGGTTGATCTAACGGCTTAGCGGTGACTGAGCTGTGACGATGAGGTGATGAGAAGAGGATGAGTAGAGGAGAAGATGATACTGGTGAGGATGAGTGCGGTGAACAAGAAGCCATTCAAGGACCAGCTACGTCGTCGTACTTTATACCCAGGCTTGGAGGGCGCGAGCTGTTGAATGTCCTTCGTCATCGTCTTGATGATTGTGAGCTTGCTTGCCGCTGTTGTCGCTAGTTGGTCTCACCAACGCAATGCCATCGTCCTGCATCACTTTCCCAATTCGGCCATGTTGAAGGCTTTGCATGTTCGTCTAAACTCGCAAGAGATTAAACCACTCCAAAATCTTGCTTTTGCTAGCTCAAAGACGATGTTAAGCTGGCGTTTCCCAGTTGCAACATCAGCCACACCTGAATCCTAGTCTATGGATCGGATCTGACCCGAGACATTGCCGGAGATCAACATGTCGGCATTGGCCACGGCCCTTCCCGCTCCCGCTCGAAGAAGCAAGGTGGGCGCCCAGCCAGCAAAACGGCGCATGGTCCCTAGACACACAGCCACGCGCGATTGGATCGTGGACCTGTCATTCTTGTCTTATCATAGCCAGCCACGACTCGTTCTGGCAAGCTGAGGCTACGCCCATGACTCTCCGGCGCGTATGAGGCTTCTCGGAAGCGCTTGCCTGTCCTCGACAGGAATGAGTCCTCATGAATTTGATCTGGCATGTGTTTGTCTCCTTCGTGCCATGCACCGGGCGCTAGCGACCGTTTTCTATGCGCAGCGTCCTCAACGCACTGCTGTGGCAACGGACGTCTGACAAGCACGGAGCCCAGGAGAGGGCCCTGGGCGCAATGGTATGTGCTGGCTGTCAACCGCATAGTCAGCCGTCATGCAGCGCCAGATGATGCAGGCAGTACAAGGGGTAAAAATGTTCTGTGCTGGCATTGCTGCAAGGGAGGTATGCACAAGATGTGCTGGCCAGCAATATTCCTGATAATCTTTGCCACATGTTGAGCACCCTAGCCCGTAATCAGACCGTGCGCCTGATGATCAAGGAGCTGGAAAGACAATCCTGTGATGCTGTTGGCTCTAAACACGCTGCTGAAGCTTTGCTTAGCTTCCAGCTCTTAATGCCCGTCAATACTCGGCATTTGCGGTGTGCAACGGACGCTGGTCCTTCCGGGCACAGTTGAACCGACCAAAGATGACCGAGAGGAATTTTCTCCACTGAGGACGGCATCACGATGCTTGTCGGAGAAATGATCCAAGCCGTGGCTGACAAGCCAAGCCTCGCTGGCCTTCTTGTCCGTGGAGCAGCTGAGGCCAGGCAAGCATTGAGACAAGACGCCAAAGATATTGGCATCCGTGAGTAGCCGCCAGGGCGTTTCCAGCAACGCGCAGCAACAGGTGGGTAGGCAGGCAAGGCAGAAGAAGAAACAAAATACTGGACCGCTAACAACAGTGCTCATTTGTCTGTCCCGGGCTTCGTCAAATGAGGGTGGAGCAAGACACCAGCCTCCTGGTTTATACCCCCAGCGAGCACAACTTGGAACCCTGACCACTGCATGAATTGCACAATGTTCCACTGCCGTTTCATGACAGGACTCTGCATAGGATGCGCACGTCAAATTCCATGTTGTTTACATATTTAAGAATATTTCTTTGACAGACTTGCTGGCGATGAGCTGGCTGGCTCGTCCCGTGCAATTATGGCGTCGTATCTTCTTCGTTTTGTCGCGCTCACTTCCTGAATGACTGGCCGCTGTACGTGCATGTCTCGCTTATGATCCCTCTGGAGATGGCGAGTCTACTTGCTTCAATCTTCCACACCTCTCGTTACTTACATGTGCCCGCCAATCAACGAGCAATGCAGTTCCTTGAGGCAGCGTCTTTCACCAACTAGGATATTTTTTGATGAATAGAGTCGATCTTCTCCCTGCCCAACGCATACCTTGAGCTATCGCCAATAGCAATGGCAATCTGACCCTACAATTTTGTTTCCTCAGTCCCAAAGTCTTGAACATCGCAAAAGTCGACATGTGCTTTTGAGTTCGGTTCCATTCAGCGGAACTCATGTTGATGCCACCTCGCCCGTGGGTGAAATGCTTCTGCCGCAAGAACCAGGGCGTGATCGGAAGTGATACCATCAGTGACCAACCTATGAGTCCATGGTCGCATTCCTCAAAAGATCAAACTTTGTGAGATACTCAGAGGCCCTCTAATTTCACTGATGTTCATCTCGGTGGTCAAAACAATGCACGGTCGTGCTTACTGAAGCTGCCTAACGCAGAAAGCTCAGTTGACTCAGATTTGGATGATCGGACAACAGGTGATGTGTTCTTTCGTGCGCAGATGAAGCCCCATGTTGAATCTTTGAACTGCTTCCAACTTGTGACCGAGGGAGTAGACGAGTTTGGGGATTGGATTTTGCTTTGTTGTCGCTTGCCAAGGCCCCGCCTGCAAAGCATTTCGTTGAATCTGGCCCCCAATAATACTGAAAAGATTGCTTGACCTTCGGGGATATCCGGGGTTACCATGCTTGGAGAAACTACAGACGGTCCAGTATCAAAGTGCGGAAATCTCATGGATGCACGCGGCTGCATGGCTGCACCTCAACATTCTGCATCGGTGCTCGGATACTGATTGCTTATCGCCGGATGGGCTTGTCCTGATGACGACAACACTTTGTGTGCAGGGCCAAAAGCGCCCCATCATTATAAAGTCAGTGAACTATCGTGTTTTCCTTGCCTAGAGCAGAATGGTCTAGTATGACCCGCACATCTTTTGCTCCAGATAACAGCTCGAAGTATCCATTTTCAGATTCAAGCAAGCATCACAAACTATGGGGTTCCTACAAAGCCAGTTGCTCACCACGCTTCCCTATCCCACAGAATCGTATGAGGGGAAGACGATCGTCATCACTGGCAGCAACGTGGGCTTAGGGAAAGAAGCTGCACGGCACTTTGCTCGTCTCGGCGCCAGCAGACTCATCCTCGCAGTTCGCAGCCAGGAAAAAGGAACTGCCGCCAAAGAGGACATTGAGAGCACCACCAAATGCGACACAAAAGTCATTCAGGTCTGGAACCTTGACATGAGCAGTTATGCAAGTGTGAAAGCCTTTGCTGCCCGTGTCGAGGCGGAACTCGACCGAGTCGACATGTTTTGCGCCAATGCGGGAATCGCCACGTCCGAATACGAACCTGCCGAGGGTAACGAGAAGACGATCACCATCAACGTTATCTCAACATTTCTTCTCGCTGCGCTCGTCATGCCGAAGCTCAAGGCTACAGCACAAACATTCGGCACCCGACCCACCTTAACCATCACGGCGTCAGAGGTCCACGCATGGACTGACCTGCCTCAGAGGTCAGCAGAAGACGGCCAGATCTACAACACACTGAATCAAAATGCCCGGGAAGCAAAGGCCGTCGACGATTACTACCCCATCTCAAAACTTCTCGAGGTTTTCGGCGTGCGCAGCATCGCCGAACAGAGCCCTGCTGCCACGTTCCCGGTGACAGTCAACTGCGTGAACCCTGGCCTCTGTCACTCGGAACTCTCTCGCAATACGGCATCCTGGGCAGCTGTGCGCTTTTCGCTTTTCAAATGGCTTCTTGCTCGGACCACAGAAGCTGGGAGTAGAACGATTGTTCACGCCGCTTCGCAGGGGGCTGACACGCATGGCCAGTACATGTCGGATGCCCAGATATCGCAGCCAGGCAGCTTCGTGCTCAGCGACGAGGGCAAAAATACGCAGGATCGAGTTTGGTGTGAGTTGTTGGAAAGACTTGAAGTCATTCAACCGGGGGTTACGAAGAATTTCCTCTGAAGACAACACGACGAGTAGCTGGGAAAAGAGGGAAAAGAATACGCCTTCCTTCCATGTGTCGCGTTGTGAACCGAGAGACTCGATTTAAAAGTATTTAGATGATTGAGGCGACTAAATGAGCCCTTGGTAGTTTCGTGGAGGCTTGGATATTGAAAGGGTGTCTTATGAGATTTATGAACTTTTGAGTACACAAATCTGGTGGGACATTCAAAGTCCTCCCCGTGTGTTGTAAACAAACTCTCATAATATATATCTGTGACCTACAGTTGCCGAAAGCTAGATTAAGACCGCCATCGATCTTTAACGACCAGTACTATACTGAGATGAGACGCCCTGTTGCCAGGTTCTGGACCCGTTGACAATCGAAACCTTTCAGGAAGAGTGAGATATGAATCTTCATGCTGTATCCAGCTTAGTACCCAGGATTATACCCGCAGTATGTTCAGCAACGCCGTAAACTGTAGCCTGCAAGTTCGCGCGAGGCAGGATTGGAATGATACTGGCGTCGCAAACGCGCAGATTGGAGCATCCGTAAACTCGAAGATTCGAGTCGACAACGCCCCCGAGCTCGTGAGGCATCATAGAACACGTCCCAACTGGATGATTCGCACCAACAGCAGTGCGCTTGATGTAGTCTCTTGCTGATTCGATATCTGTCAAAGGATGTGTTGCCCCGGGGTTGCGTTTACCATTTTGTTTCAAGTAGTCAACTAAAGGCTTCGAAGCAACGATTGTCTCAAGGAACTGAAGATGCCGCGACATGATCTCGATATCGAGAGGATGTGTCAAGTGGGCCGGATCAATGGCGATCTGAGTAGAATCAATGCTTGCTGATGAGGAGTTGATGTGCACCGAACCTCGCGACAGTGGATGAGCTAGAAGTAAGGCCACAGAGAAGTAGTTTTCTGGCCCAGATGGTGGGGAATCCATGGTGCCATCGGGCTTGAACCAGGCAAACCCCGGAAAGGAGAGGTAGCAGGCTGATGCTTCATCTTGAGAGCCAAGTATGCTGCGCACAAAGTCTTCGTGTGCCTCGGCGAAAGCGGGCGTGGTCGATGTTAAGTTTCTGGGCTCTTGCTTGTGCTTTGACATGAGTTCTTCGAGATCAGACTTTCCTTCGGTAGTCTCTATTCCCGGGAAGGGCAACTGAGCCACCGCGTTCGTGCCGCTGCTCGCAAACGGACCCGACTGCTTCCCATATGCGTCCATAGCGGCTGCAACAGAAGCTTCGTCCTGGCGGGCGAGTGGGTCCATAGTCGCGAGACCCTCCAGAACTTCAAAGCTCATACCGCACATAATATGGTTCTGCAGATTCTCACCGACATGAGTGTTGTCCACAATGGATTCTATTCCGAGGTGTCTCAATCTCTGTGGATCTCCCACGCCAGAAAGTTCAAGAATTTTGGGAGAGTTGACAGCTCCCGCTGCGAGTATGACTTCGTTATTGGCTCTTACGTGGTGGATCTCTCCATCCTTGTTGTACCGCACGCCGGTTGCCACAACCTGTCCTTGTTGAGAAGTCTCGAATGTGACTTTTTCCACCAAAGCCTGGCTGATTACCTTCAAATTGCTCCTTTTGCAAGCGGGCTCAAGATAGCTGTTGACGGCATAGCTTCTTTGTCTTGTGTCAGGATCGATGGCATCGGTATTGGTAAAAGCCCCGGACACTTGGCCTGTAAAGGCATCGCCTTTGCCAGCATGCCCAAGATTGGATAAAGTCTGGCTCCAAATCCCGGCCCAACGGTTTCCGGGGTCATTGGGCAAGCTCAGCTTGATGGGACCACTACCGTCCCCGGCGTGCGCCGGCAGCGTATAGCATTTGGCGAAAGATTGCGCGAAGTCGTCCCACTGCCAGCCTGGATTACCCAGTTTGGCCCACGCGTCAACATTGGATTTCGACGTTGGAGTAAACGACAAGCCATTGATGGCACTCGATCCGCCTAGGAGACGACCTTGGGTGAATGCAAGTTCGCGGCCGCCAAGGCCAGTCTTCGTCGGGCTCTGTCAGTTTCGATGACGAAAACAGCAGGTATTTCAGGTTCAAGAAGTTTGAACATCAAGTAAAAATTTCTGAACAGCAGCAAGAAAACTAACCTGAGGTACAGTCCGAAATCCCCAATTGGCAGCGCTATTAAGCAAGGTAGGCCACATAGGGGGTATGGAAATTCGCGGATCTGAGGTCAAGTCCTCGCCCGCTTCAATCACCAAGATCCGAAGCGACGCATGTTCGGACAGACGAGCTGCTAAAACAAGCCCGGCAGTGCCCCCACCAACGATGATTACATCGTATGTCGTCGGATCAGCCATGACTATCAGAAGTGATGCTTAAGAGAAGAAGATGCCTGAAAAGGTCTCCTTTGCAAATTCTTAGGAGAAGTAGCGGCTTCTTTATAGCTCGATGAGTTGACTCGGTGACCGGAAGCACTGGCTGCCTATCTGATGGGTTGATGGAATCAGCTCCAATTGAGGGATTGCCAACATGAAGCGCAATGACGCATCCAGGTCACGCCAAGGGAGGCGCAGACGCGGCCTGATGTTTGCCTCGAACCGAAAATGGGCACAAGATGTCAGAGTACGAGTTCAAATCCTGATATGATGGACTTGGTTTTTTTCTAGGTGCACCAGGCATCCAATTCGATGCTCAATGCCGTGTCACACTTATGAAACATGTATTGACTGTGGAGGCGAGCTCAGTAATGATGCTCTGGGTACGGGCGTGCCCACATGTGCTCCTAAATAAACATTCAACCTCTGAGATCTTTGCGACCCCATCAGGCCGACGACAGTGAGAAAGAACGCCTTGCGTTGCAAGTTACTTTAATTTTCAATCAAGGTGCCCCATAGTGACATTTTGTGATGGTTTACTAAGTCACCGGCCGGAAAGCCACTTGGGAGCGCACACGACGCCTGCCCTAACGGGCTTATGACGCGCCATGCATGTACTCTGATCACATCGCATTAGTGCTTACCAAGTCGTTATCTTCCTATAAAATACGAAAATGCGTTCGTTGCCCGGCGCAAGCATTTACTATCTACCCCTGCTACTGGAGATGATCATTTCAATCAAACGATGACTTCATATCTTGAATCTATCTTTTTTAGGATCCAAAGACAAGCAAAACTTACAGGCGGTCTGACTTCCGAACGCAGTCTGGTCCCGGAGCGAGACACTTCGGATACTCTGACGCTTCCAGATGGCCGACAGCTCGGATTTGCCCAGTATGGGCTATTAACTGGAAAGCCTGTGTTCTATTGCCATGGACTTCCGGGCTCCCGCGTAGAAGCGGGACATCTACACGAGGAGGCGTTCGCTACTGGAGTGCGCATCATTGCGACAGATCGTCCAGGCATGGGACTAAGTACGCCACAGCCAGACCGAACACTTTTAGATCATCCAAAAGATCTAGAACTTCTCGCCGACCATCTCAAGCTGTCCGAGTATGGAGTACTGGTGCGCAGGATATCTCAGTCTCAACCGACTTTGATCAATGCTGATATCCCACTCTACAGGGCGTGTCAGGGGGCGGCCCTTATGCACTTGCATGTGCTGTCTCACACGCTCCTGAAAGACTAAAGTGCGTGACCGTTGTATGCGGCATCGGACCACCTGATATCGGCATGGCTGGCGCAGGCTGGTTCCACTGGCTGGGCTTCACCTTCGGGTGGCGCTATGCTCCTCGCCTTGCAGCGTGGTTCTTTAAAAGCCAAGAACAACTCGACTTGCCGGACGAAAAACGTCTTGATATACGAATACAGCAAGCAAAAAAGCAAGACGCGCAATTCCCGGAGTCAGAAAAGGATATTTGGACCAACAAGGATATAGCCGGACGCATGGTAATGTCGAGCCGCCAGGTCTACCTCCAGGGCATAGATGGCTTCAGTCAGGACGGCTACTTATTGTGCACCGAGTTTGGGTTCGATATTCGAGACATTCGACACGACTTGCCCATAACTCTTTGGTATGGAAAGCATGATACGTTTGTGCCTCCGAACCATGGGAGACAAATAGCCAAGCGTCTGGGAGACCACGTTAGACTCAGACTTGAGGATGATACACATGCAAGCATCTTCTTCCGTTGGAGGAAGGAAATATTAGAAGATTTGGTCAGCAAGATATGAGCTGATGTGGAGCAAAATTGCCTTATAACTAAAATGCGTGGATCACCAATCCTGTGGATGATCCCCCCATTCAGCTCACAGTAGTCTAACGGCGAGTTAAGGAGAACAGCTGCTGATCTCTTGAGAGTCTCTCAGTGGATGAAACCATCGATACCCTCTTTTAATTATGGGCAGTCAGCCTCCCAACAGAAGGTCCCTCGTTACGCACGGCCCCTTTCTGCGTGGCTCCTCTGTTCCCAACAGGTGTCCCACTGGCACCCCCTTGATCCCGCAAGGTTCATTACATCAGTAATATACCGCAGGAGTCTCTCGAAGCGTATAGAGTCCGCAAGTATATGCCCTTTGTGGGTCACTTGATGTTTCAAACAGTTAAGACCCTCCTCACAAGATACCCCATAGACCCCCCAACATGGATCATTTCCTCGCAAACCTCGTTCCCTGTCCTGTATATTGTAAAGCTAAGTCCCAGATGCCCTACTGCTGGCATTATGGTGTCACAAGGTTCTCGACATAGAGACCGTTGCCGCGGAGGTCACACACCATATTCCAGCATAACAAAAAATGCCCAGCTTCTTAGACTCTGATATGTCAGTAACAGTCCAATTTGGTTATGGGTTAGCGAGTCTGGATGTGGGGGCTTATCACCTTGTTTGCCAGTAGTCGTACCTCAGATTGAAAGTCTCGAACCGGATCAGAACCATTGCAGCTAGTTAAATATAGAAGCTGGCAATTTCCTTTACAGTGAGCTGAACCTGGGCTGCTTCCGTACCAGTTCATGACTTGAAAGTGCTCCCGAGCCCACTGGTAAGGCTGGCCTATCCGACAGGGGGTAGGCACGAGTATGAAAGATAGATGCAGGTGACCAGGAATTTTCCAAGCCACCAATACAGAACCAGCGCCCAGAGCTACAGCCCAGTCTGTAACCATGCGGCACAGCGCTGCGAGGCATTGCATATAACTTGACCATCCCCGCCTTGGCTCTTGCAAACCAAATAATTGTGCCTTTGGTTACTTTGCCATCGAGATGTCTCGTCACTCTTGGAACCCCCCAGACACTTCGTACCTGCCGCAGAGATCGAACGAGATTGGGAATCAGGCCCGGATACCGCCTTGGGCTTATGCCCCGACTACCTCGCAAAGAGAGCCGTACATTCCACCCAGTACGACTGAAAGGGATTCGGGATCTCGAGTTTCATCCTATCTGCCTTGGATGCCATCTCCCGCGGACGCGGGGCCCAGTCAGCAGCCTCAAACCGCTCGTAACAGCACGGGCTATGTTCCCAAATCACCAGATTTCAGCATCATCGATCAACCGGCTCCTTTTTGGAACAATCATCGTCAAAACGAGGTCTGGGTACCACCTGCAGCCGTTGACACGGCTGGAATCTACGGCGACCCCTCGCAATCCGAATCTCGAGGCGGGCGTGAGCTACAAGATGTGCGCGTTGAATACCCACAGCCTCGAAACCAAGAGCTAGGGTTCTTGGACGATGCGCCAGCCTCCAACAGAGACTCGCCTTCTGCACCTCACCTCCAGGCTGAAGGCCAGCGGCTCAGCACCTTTGCTGCAACAGATAACCGTCTCCGTAAAGCGATCACGCGCAAACCAGTCCCGCTGCGGCCAATGCAACGGCCAGCACCCAGCCCATCAACCCGGCCCTCGAGCGCGACAAGGCTCCAGGCAGCAAACAATGCCAGCACAATCTACAGCCCAGGCTCCCATCTCAACGAATGGCAGCCCCCAGCACCGAGCCCGCAGCACTCCCTCTTTGGACCCCACCCCCAGGGGTTGCTAAGGCCTGGCCGCTTCATGATGATCACGCCCGGCATGCGAGCCTGGGCCATTGACCGGCCAGCCTCCCAAGCCCACGCCGACGTCGCCATCGACCCAATGACCCCCCTCTGGCTCGAGTATCGTGCCCAAGTCCAGAACCTCTGCCGCGCCTTCCGACGCGACACGGCCTGCGGCATTGCCGCCTGCTCCGGCAACATCATTAGCACGGGCGACTTTGGCATCGAAATGGCCGGCAGCACGTACCAGGAGCACCATGCCGAAGAGGCGCTCCTCTCCGGCAGCCGGCGCACGAGACGTCGGCTGACGAGCGAGTGGATCGACGGCCGGCAGACGGACGTCTGGCTCGTCGAGCTCGACGTGCAGTGCGTGCTGCTGGGTATCGAGCCGTGCTTCGGGGGCCGGTATCCGGGGCACAAGTGCCGGGACTTCTTCAGCAGCGCTGGGCGCTTGTTCAGGCCGCGCGTGGGCAGCGTGACTGCGGCGACGACGGGGGTGTTGCGCAAAGGGGAAGTTGCCGAAGCCATGTGGGTGAGAGCGCGGTTTGTGCCGCGTTCGGATAGGGGGGTGACGCCCGTGTTCTGCTATGAGATGCAGAGGGACAAGGCGAACCCTGTGCCGTCTGTTCTGTCGGCGCTCAAGAAGACTACCGGGCAGGGACCGAACTTCGCGTGGCTTGACGCGAAAGATGATCTTTGGGGCAGCATGTACGGGGATGTGATGTGGATCAGCGGTGATGGGCGCGACAATGTTTGGCGGGCGAAGCGAGAGGCCATGCAACGGTTTTTGGAGCAGAACGGTTGGGAGGCTAGAGATGGCTTCGTGGTTCTTCGGGGAAGTACTGCGCCGGGCATGTTTGGGAGAAGCAACTACGATGTGCGCACGGCGGATGGCAGTGAGAGGCCCTTTTGGCTGAAGCTGCCTCCGGCTCAGGCCCAGGGGCCTAATATGCTGAGGAAGAAGAGACCGGCCAGCTCCCGTTGAAGCAAAGCTAGTGAAACAGGACGGCAGCGGAGGCAATGTCCGTAGATTGTTGGTGGGTGGTTTATGTGCTGAGAGTCTCGACAACTTTGATTTACATGGACGCAAATGCGGCAATATGAATACCATATGGAAGACTGACGGCTGCCAGTGTCTGTTTGAACATCGGATCTAGCAGGGACAACATTTGTAAGTTCCAAAGTGGAGGCTTGAATCTGATAGTCCAATTGCCCGAGTCATGCATAACTATTGCAACCTGCAGAGAGTGTCAATATTAAAGTTCAAGTTACTGTACCTGATGAAGTATCATATAAGATCTTTTGATAAACAAACTGAGGCCGCAAGTTGGCAATGGCAGCAACGACGAGTGATATTAAGGTAGCATTGTTTGCCGCAGCACGATTGCTAACCTACCTATTACATACTTATATACGACTTTGCGCTGTTCAGAAGCAATGTTATATCCCCTAAAAAACGTCAGCCTTCACGACCTTACCTATAGGACTTGGATATAAACATGGAACAATTACGTGAAAACTTCAAGAAAGTATGGGCTTAACGCTAGGCAAGCTGCTTTCGCACAGAATGAAAAAGAGTCATTTCTCCAGTCCCGCCCGCTGCACAGGCAAAAGTGATTCAGGGGAGGCTCGAACTCCCGACCTTCAGTGAACTCGTGATGGCCAAGGACATCTCGATGTTAGACTGACGTGATGAACCAACTACACCACCGAACCGATAAGAGTCAAGTCTCGGCTAAAGGAACTATGGCAGCATGGAATTGTGGAACACTGCAGAGCAGATGAACACACCCCTCAACGAGAGGGGTTGCGGCGGGACAGGACTGAGCTTTTGCATGTGAGATGCACTGGCTGTTTCTTCGAGGGACCATTGAAGCTGAGGTGTCCAGTATCTACCATCCTTGAACTGCCCACCAAGGAGGGGTAGCTGTGCATGACGTGCTGATCCAAGCACCGTCGCTGAAGTGAAGAGAGGTGTAGCTCTAGGTTGATAGCCAGGCTTGCCAGAATCCAATTTTGATTTCCAACACAGGCCACTCGCCATACCTTGGTGCTGCGTCGATTGATCAGCCTCAAGACCTCGTGCCGCTCTCATCCGTGATTCATCATAAAAGCCTCGCGGATCCGCTTACGAAACAAGAGCAGAGGATCGTGGCCATGGAACACGCTGCAGCACGCTAGGCAATCTCCAGCCGGAGCCCCGTCGTGCTTCGGGCGGAGATGCTGCACAGTGAGCGATGACCTTGCATGGCGCTAGACTCATTTCGCACGCTGGATTCGGCGGGGGACACCTCCTGCTGTGAAGGGGGCGCTACAGGCTTTGGACATGGCGAATGCTTTCTTGGTTTTGCTGCAGCGTCATTGATGAGGAGCGAGGACACGTAAACGGCACATCGTCGGTCACGACGTGCATGGGCGCCATGCGTGAAACGACAGACTGAGGCATCAGGGTAGCACAGGATACTGATATAAGTATCGCAGGAAGACATTGGTTTGGTATGCGGCGTTCTCAATGAAGCAATCATCACCACTCTTCGAAGCAGGTAACACATCGCGATCAAGCTTCCCCTGCTTCCATTCTTGACAGTTCCTCTCCAGCATACAATGTCTTCCACCACGAACGTCCTCATCACCGGCGCCGGCCGCGGTAAGTCGCGCCTGGTCAAACCGGGCATTGATAAGGCCACTTCGTCTAACATGGCACAGGTCTCGGCCGTGGATTCCTGACAACGTTCCTCGCTCGCCCCAACCACATCGTCATCGGCAGTATCCGCGACCTCGACTCCACCACAGCTCAGGACCTGCGGGCCATCACTCCGGCCTCGGGCTCGCGCCTCATCCTCGTCAAGATCGAAGCCACCTCGACGACGGACCCCGCCGACGCCATCCGCCAGATCGAGGCCGAGGGCGTCAGCAAGCTCGACGTCGTCATCGCCAACTCGGGCATCACGGGTACCCAGGGCGGTCTCGAGACGGTTGACCCAGCCGACTTCCAGCATGTCCTGCTCGTCAACGCCGTCGCGCCCACGGCTCTCTTCAACGCCGCGCAGCCGCTGTTCGACAAGGCCGAGAACCCCAAGTGGGTGTCCATCTCGACGCTCATGGCCACCATCAACGGTCTCGAGAAAACGGCGGCGTGGCCGTCGGTTCCCTACAGTGCTTCCAAGGCGGCGCTCAACTTCATCACAAAGTCGATCCACATCTGGCGCTCCAACATTACTGCCATCTCGGTGCACCCCGGGTGAGACATGAGCTAAACCCTGGTAGCCGCGAGGGAGCTGCTGTGCTGACCTGTTTTCACAGATTCGTCGCCACCGACATGGGCAAGTCTGGAATCAAATTCTACAACCTGCCGGAGGAGGCCGCCATCAGCGCCGAGGACAGCGTCAGTGGTGTGACGAAGCTTGTGAGTCGCCTTTTCGCGTGGTCCTTGAAAATGCCGTCTTGCAGATTGCTAACTCTGTGGCCAAGATTGACTATGCCACGAGGGCCGAACACTCGGGTAAGTTCATCAGCTACGACGGGTCCTTCCTCGAGTGGTGAGAAGTCGTGTGGCGCTCGGATGGGCTGGATGTGTAGTTTCGTATATCATGATCAATGACAAAGGCTTTGCTCACTCCTCAATGACTCGCTGTCCTTTCGTGAAACCAGCATGCGTCGATCGTAGAAGGTCTGAGCCTGCCAAGTTGGGGTCAGCTCCGTGACGGAGAAACAGTTCGACGGCTTTTTCACAGTCGCACTCGACAGCCATCGATAGGGCGGTCCGTCCCTGCTCGTCATGGGCGTTGACATCAACACCGGCCTCGAGCAGGAAGATGATGGCGTCTCCCTTGTAGGCTTCGACGGCAGCAAGTAGAGGCGTGCGGCCTTCAATGTCGCGGGCGTTGATGTCGGCGCCGTGGTCCAGCAGCATCTGCATCATCTCGCAGTTGCCCAGACGAGCGGCGGCGTGCAAGAGTGGTTGAGGCTTGTCGTGCTTCGTTAGGGTTGTGCAGCCGGTCTGTTCGGTCCAGATGGATAGAAGTTTGGCTCGGAAGGCCTGGAGAGCTTCTTGGCTTTGAGAGAATCTGGTTTTTGACCTGGCGGAGGGTTGAGTTGCGTCGGCAGGATTACTTGCTGAACATAGGTCGCTCGTGGGCGGCGGGGAGGAGGTTGTGGCGTTCAACGTGGCTGGAGCAGTCCCTGTGGCTGCGGCATTGTCGAGAACGCCCGACTCGACGAGTTCCTCAAATAGCTGTGCCTCCCATGACGGGATCTCTGTCTCAAAGGCATAATCGTAGGGCTCTGTGGGGTTGGCTTCGACGCCGTTCAGCGGGTTGGGTGCATTGTCAAAGACATCGCATGTGATGCCTGGGGTGACATCTGCCCCGGTCTGGTGGATCTCATACACGGGTTGCTGGAGGAAATGGTCCGAAGAATCAACGCGATGCGATGAATACGGTGTCGTCCAAGCATCGAATTCCGTATCGGAAAGCTCCTCGATGCGGCGGCTGGCTTCTCTCTTCTCTTGTGCTCTTTTCTCTGGTTCTGCGTCAGCCGGGGGCGTGGTCGAGGCTGATGCATGGAGAGAGAGACACACTCTCTCTCACTCACCTCGCAGCCGCCTCTGTGCCAGGCGATTCTTGGCCTTCCTGGGATTGTCCATGAAGAGCACGCCGGGGGGAAGAGAGCGCATCGTTTGCGTCGCCATCGTGTCTTGTGGCGGCATGGTTCATGGCATCGTCACTCGAGCTCCTTTTGAGGCGGACCTTGGGAGGTGAGGAGGCAGGAGGCTCCAGAACTCCATGGAATCTCACAGCATCGGGATGAAGTTCGGCTGTGGTCGGGTCGCGTGATGGGTCAGCACTGTCACGAATCAGCAGCATGGGTGGCAGCCACGCCAAGCGTTTACACCTGGCGCCGGTGGTCTGTGCCCGTGTAGTGGCTGCCTCACTAATCCGACTTCGGTTTCCATCTTCGTCAATGCATGGATCGCCATGTGATTCAAATTGGGTGTGAATCTAACGACGAGAAGCGGTTGACGGTCTAGATATTGGATGTCTTCAGCCTGGATGTCTATCTATCAGTCAAACGATTTCGTCGCTAGACAGAGGGAGATGGGTCCTGTCTAGGATACCTTGCCGACCAATATTCGAATCTGAGTACTGAGTTTCCGCCTCACCTCGAGACCTTACGCACGATCTCGACTCCCTTAAACTTCGGAATGCCGGAAAGCGGGAGCCCCTGCTCTGCAGCCCGCATCGTCCATCCCCGTTCCTGACGGCGTCTGAAACCTCCCCAAGTCCGCTCTGCGCTGGTATTCAGAGGCGTATACCTATGATCGATAGAATCGCCTTCGCGAAGGGTGTAGAAATGAGGGGTGCGGTATGTTGCACGCTCGATGGGCATTTTGCACGTAAAGTGAAACACGAATATTACGGTCCCGCGGCCGTACAGATGAGTGAATAGCAAGTCGATCGAATGCTCACGTTCGTCAACCGCAATCGTGTGTACGCTCGGGAGGAGCTTTTCGACCAGTGAGAGACTCATGAAGGAACAATCGAGCCCATCCGGCACAAGGAAGACGTCGCGGTATTTATTGAACCACATGTAGTCCAGTGCCCAGCATCCGTTGGCCTCAGTAACTCGCCAGGCTTCTCGGCATGCGCCGCGAATGCGTGGTGGAGGCCGAGGGTTGTGAAATCGAGGTTTCTCATCGTCCCCGTCGTCGTAAACGTCCCATATTCTCCCAGCCGGCAAGGCCATTGTCCAAATGTCTACCCTGATGTCGATGGGTAGGCTCTCAAATTTGGGAAAGACGTCTGCAATGACCGTGGCTTTTTGCTGACCCATGGCTTTCCGTTCATGACCTGGGCACTTTGTATTAGCTGGTGCGGGCGCTTTGTGGGAAGACCTTGTGGTGTACCTGGTTGCCTCACCAGGCCGTGATCCCTGAGTGCTACGACAATGGAGTGCTGAGTCTCTGCCATTGCTTTCTGAGTGTTGGCAAGGACACATTGTACCTCCGAGATGGTCTTTGTGGCCCGCGTCAGCTGTAACACAGCTTGTGTTAACTCCTCCGAGGTCACCATTGTCTCTAAAGTACCTGAGGTACTATCTTCAGCGGTGGAATTGGACTGGGGATGGTAGTAAGAAGGAAATTATCGTTCAATTGAAAATAGAGGTGTGGTAGAACTAAGAATCTACCAAAGTGCAGTGTTAAAAGGGGAGAAAGTCTAAGTTGCGGAAACTGTTTAAGTATATCTTGAAGCAGGTACGAATCAGGCGGAAGGTTCGCAGCAAAAATCGGCGCAATTACCTACCTAGGTACCTACCTTAGGTACCTAGAGTAGCTTACCTAGGTAGGTACTTACCTAGGTACCTAAGGTTCGCACAAGCGTGCAATGGTGGCCATGAATTGGATCATACAAGACTGTGATTCACCATGGCTGCGAGGAATCCAGTTCATCGCTGGAAACCTGTCGCGGGTGATATCCGGCTAAGCTACAAGTCTAGAGTCTTGCCTTCGTAGCTAAGGTACTTTACTAAGAGGCTCGTGTTCGATCCCTCACCTCCTTTGTGAAGGCTGCGTTGACCTCGAGCAAGATTGTTCTTTCCTTCTTGTCTTTATCTGTCACAACGTCATCTAAGGCTTTGTCCTAGAGAGATACTCGACGACTACCTAGCCTACTGCAAAACCTGAAATGTGCCAGTCATAGCATCACTTGATCCATATGCTCTTCGTGAATGTCAGGTTTCCCTGCGGAACCATGGCACACGGGGCAGGTTAGTGGCTAAGGACTAAGCGAGCCTGTATATAACGACGGCGGAGGGCCAGAAACCAGATGTATTCTAACCCCACACCTATGATCCATTGTCCGCGAACAACGTGTGGAAGACCTCTTCTCTCTACGCTAGACCAAGCACTGACACGGGACCCCATTCCTCCAAGTCTGATCAGCACCTCCATAAGAGAAAGACAGTGCCGCGATTTTTTTTGAGCCACCCGTAGTCCAAGCACCAGTATCTATTGACCTCAGTCATGCGCCAGGCCTCTTCAAAACCACTGCAGATACTGGGCGGAGGCAACGGGTTGCGAAAGCTGAGGGGCCCTTTGTAATCGCCGCCATAAAACGTCTTCACCGTGAGGAGAGAACTTATTTGAGTTCCCATGCGCTGATCTTGTACCAAAGAACCTCGCATGTCACGCCCGAAAGGAATGCCGTCGTCCAGATGGCCGCTCTGATATCAGTAGGCAGACGAGAAGAGTCAGATAAGGCTCGCGGTGCCACCAAGGAGCCCTCACACTTTTTTGGCAGGGTCTAGAAAGGAAACGTCAGCCCATCCTCAACTCTGGCCCTGCGACATTGTGACACACTTTACTGCTTCTCCGGCTTTGGGCTGCCAAGTGTGGCGAGCATTGACTGCTGCGTGGCGGCAATGGTGTTCTGAGTCTCGGCCATTTTGCTCTGCGTCTCTGCAATTTTGCCCTGCGTCTCTGCCATGTTGATCTGCGCCGCGGCAATGGCAGACTGTGTTTCCGTAATGCTCTTGTTCATCTGGATCAGTTGCAGCATGTTCGGTGTCTGTTCCTGGGGCGCCATGTTGGCTTGCGTGATGGCCGTCTGAGGCCAATCAAAAGAATGCGGTCTGCGAATCGAAGGCAATTATCCGCAGTGAGCTTGGTGAGAATCTGCAGGTTTAATGTTGGGCTGAAAAGTAGTTTAGGTAGCTGGGCAAGTTGGTGATGGTATCTGGACAAGGCAGGTTCGGAACTGCAGAAAGGTGAGTTGGAGTTTAAATAGCCCGGAAAAATAAGCCAACTACATGGGTATCATTCACTGCGACAGGCGCTGGAAGGGAATATTCGGGTAAGTGAACCAACCAGATGGGTATAATAAGTTTGTTCCATTGCTCAAAGAAGCATCTATTATAAGTCCTATTTCGGTTCCGTGTATTGACTTTCTTAGGCGCAATGCCTCAGCCCTATAATGTAACAGATTCATGGTAATTGAAGTTATTCCTACCATTCACTTTGAGCTCAACCTGCGATCGCTCGTACTTTCCTTGCAGGTCCCAGCAATCGAAAGGACAAAAGACTACCTCTCGCTGCTAATTGCTTCGAACGTTCTCGTTGGCCTACTCAATCAGTTTGGAGGTCTATTCAATGTACACCATTGATGCTAGAAGAGGATGAGAGCTCGAATCCGTGTCTCTCTCTGGGGTTTACTACTCAAAAGTCCGTCAGTCTCTCGACGCCCAAGTCTTCTCGGCATCCCGCAGTGCCCACTCCGTCATCCACTGGCTCCGAAGTATACCCTCCGCGGTTGGCCGCTCACCTGGCCTAAAATTCAAGATGTCACTGATTAATTCGCAGAACGCCTTGCTCTCCCTCTCGTCCATGGTGTCACCCTTCCTGCGTTGTCTCGGGCCCTGGATCGCGTCCTCGAAGCGCTGGTCAAAGGTCCAGGGCTGCCTTCCCTCCGTCGGCTGACCGTTGGCGACGAAACGCTTCCACTTCCCGTCCCAAGCTTCCCACTACTCGTCCGGCAACGGACCTAGAGCATAGATCTGGTTTGCCGTGACATCATCTAGTTCTGGGAGGAAAATGTCGAGGAATGGTCTCACGCCGAGGATCTCCTAGATGATGCAGCCGAGACTCTAAATGTCGGATGCATACGATAAGGGAGTCATTGGATCGAAGCGCGGTTCGGGCGGACGGGTCTTACGAGGCGTGAATGATTGCAGTCGAGTCTCATGAACAGGCGAGAAGGCTGTGCCAAGGTCGGTGAGCATAAGCTTAGCTTCAGAAAGAGTAACCTCTTCCGCATATTTCCCGAGCTAAGCTGGCGTGCAGGCATATGCCGGTATAGATAGCGACGTGATCGGTTGCTTGTCGACCCTTACTACCGGCTCTGCCTCTGGGTCGCTATACTTCTCGCAGAGCTCTTTAACGGTAAGCTTATCGATTTCTTTGCCCGGCAATTGGAGGAGCAGGTTGCTAAGGTGGATGGATATCTGGGAAAGGTTAGCGGCATCCAGACAGAGACCGAACACAACTGACCGCTATGAACGGTTCCTAGCCTATGTATACGTGCAACTGCTATAACAAGTTAGGCAGCGAGAGATCTGGCTATATCAAGGGGGAATATATCGTAGTTCTTCAGAGCCTCGAGGAGACTGCATCTGGCCGGCGTGGTGACTAGGCACGAATGTATCCCGTTAGGCCCTATGAGCTCGAAACGGTCGAAGACGGGAGGGATGAGACAGCCACTCTAGTCATTAGCTGGATGGGCCGAAAGTTGTTCCAGGATCCTGGCTTCCTTGGAGCTGTGGTCCGCGATGCTAATCTTGACTGCCACGTATCTGCTCAGCCTTTCATCTCGTGCGAGCCAAATCGTGGAGTACGATCCGTGCCCGAGCTTTTCGATAATCGAGTATCGTTCCTGGAGCCTATTATTCAATTGAACAGGGTGATAACCGCCGGGTCGGTATCCCTCTAGTCGTTCGACGTCGCTAATAAACTCATAGAGCGGTCCATCGGTTGCTATCGTTCGACTGAATGGCCGCAGCGTACGCGCGAAGCAATGCAGGCCTAGGCTTTGCTTCTTGATTAAATGGCATGCAAAGGATCGCATATCCTCAATGTGAGAATGGATTCAAGGATACAAGCCTGGAACGCTGTCGATGAACGGTTCACATATCCTAGGTCGGCTTCATGTTGGGCATGTTGGTGATGGTGATGGATGAAGATCAACCTGCCGTAGCCAGCCTGTCTTGCCTGTGGCATTGCACACACTCTAGAAATGGCACATGAATTCAATTGGTCGCTTGGTTGACTAATCAGTGGAGCCTTGGCTGGTAAAAAGCGACTACACCCCCAACGTCTTTCTCGCTGCAAGGTCAGAATGAATAAATTCTGACCCGCTACGTAGTATATAGTCTGTACGTTATTTATCTAGCTGCTCTAACAAGATCACATTGTGAATAGAGTGGGCAGGCGACAACACCTTGGTACCACGATCTTGCGGTCCGTCCCAGGTTGCTGTAGCTGAATGTCAGGGGACCCTGCGGGTTCCCTGCGGAGTCGCCAAGCAGGGGGTCGGTCAGGGGCTAAGGGCTACGAGAAACGTATATGTATGTATAGGTTGCGGTGCGGAAACAGTTGACGAAGTGTAAACAGAGGACGCCGATTCCGGGTCCTACTGTATGTGCAGCGAAACGACGCGACCGATCACGTCTGTACCCAAAGTGAACAGAATTCAAAGAGGAAGAGACTTATTACGGCATCAGATTGATCGTGGACAGGTTGGTCTTTGACGTGGGACGGCGCGACGCGAACTGGTGGATCCCATTCCACGTGGCGCCCCACCTGCAGCCATGGCGAACGAACGCGACACGATCCATGTTGCGTCGGATGGAGAATGGGGGAATGGTGGTGTGAGACGACAGCTTCGATCGACGCGCAAGCCGAGCAACAAGGTCGTCGACAATCGATCCATCGACAACGAAGTCATCGACGATGAACATATCAATGATGAAGCGACCGAGGGTCAAGCCAGAAACGAGCCGACCGACGATGTGGAAATCACGGAGCGAAGAGCCAATAGGCGCGGTACCAAACCGACGGTGCGACGACCAATCTCCGGGACTCTTGGAGGGCAGCCGGACGGAAGAGCGTTGCTGCGCGCTATGGAGAAACAGATGGAACTACAGACGAAGATCATGAGAAAGGTCCTGGAAGAGTCCCAGTCACAGTCGACAAGAATTGAAGAGCTCCAGAACGAAGTGGAGAAGCTTAGGAAAGCCCTCCATGCGACCACGAATGAAACCCAGAGCCTGCGTGCGAGCATCGAAACAGTCACTACGACGATCGCAGGGCAGGATAGATCGGGGCCGTCCTACGCAGACATTGCCCGGATGCCACAGGCCGGCCAACTCAGCAACACGAGGCAGGCTACCATGACAACGCCACCGACGCCAATAGACATGGTCTTCTGCACGATCGACACATCCAGGATGGAGGACGAACAAGGTGAACAGCTCACACCGGGCGCTATTCGTACCCTTACGGAAGGCGAGGTCAGGGTGGACCAAAGCCAATCCAAGTGGCGTTGCCTGGCCGTGACCAAGGACCCGAAGAAGCCTCGAATCAGAATTGCCTGCAGAAACGAGCAGGAGCACGCCATGGTGAAACAACTGGTGGAAGCCAAGCTGCCTCGAGGAGCTAGGATGCTGCGAGACGAACTCTATCCTGTCAAAGTCGACTACGTGAGCCGCATGGTGGTCTTGGATGAGGCGAACACCATCCGCAGTGGGGCCGCGGAGGAGATTGGCAAAGAAAACGACGTACAAGTTGCGAAAGTAGGCTGGCTAAGTAACAGGGACGTCCCGAAGGCATACGGCTCAATGGTTATGTACCTCACGAAGAGAGCGGACGCGGAAAGGCTACTCGCGGAGGGCTACGCCTATGCGGGAGGACAATCTGGGAGGACCAAGGTCTTCGAATCTCGTCCTCGCCTCGACCAGTGCTACAACTGTCAACAGATGGGCCGCGGCCATAAAGCTCACCAGTGCGACCGACCCCAGGTGTGCGGGAAATGTGCCAAGGAGGGGCACCACCACAGTGCCTGCACTGAGACTATCCTCAAGTGTGTTCCCTGCGGAGGTCCCCATGCATCTTTCAGCAGAAACTGCAAGAAGCTCTACCCATCTTTGAATGAGTAGTACGCTCCGTATGATCCAACTCAATGTGCGAAAACGCGGCGAGGTTCACGAGAGCCTCATGAACGACGAGGACATTCAGGACGTAGCGGTGCTGGCGATCCAGGAACCACAGGCACGGATGATCAAAGGACGGCTGTTGACGACGCCGATGGGACATCACAGATGGACAAAGATGGTCCCACCAACGATTGGGGAAGGACGATGGGCGATCCGAAGCATGCTTTGGGTAAGGAAGGATTTGGAGGCTGAACAGGTGCGGATAGAGTCTCCGGACATGACAGCAGCATTGTTGCGGCTTCCAGGGAAACTGGTACTGGTGGTGTCCGTGTACGTGCAGGGGATGGACACCCAGGCATTACAGGAAGCGTGCAACACCATACGTAGAGCGGTCGCGGACGCCAGGAGAGCCGCAGGAGAGGTGGTGGACGTGGTCATTGCGGGCGACTTCAATCGCCACGATCAACTATGGGGAGGAGACGACGTGTCTCCGGTACGACAGGGTGAAGCCGACAACATCATCGACCTGATGAACGAGCTCTCCCTCTGCAGCATGCTCCCGAGGGGCACGAAGACTTGGCAAGGCGGGGACCACGAGTCGACAATCGACCTGGTGCTGGTATCAGAAGACCTAGCTGCGGCCATGATCAAGTGTACGACGAACGGAACAGAGCACGGGTCGGACCACCGCACCATCGAAACGATTTTTGATGTATCAGTGCCGGCCCCGAAAATCCAGGACCGACCTCTGTACAAGAACGCGCCATGGAATGAAATCAACACTCGAATTTCCACTGCACTCGAGACAGCCCCGATGGAAGGCACGGTCCAAGAGAAGACGGACAGACTCATGTCAGTGGTGCTGGAAGCAGTACAGGCC